TACCTGAGTGAGTAGACTCATGATTAATTTACATGCAATAAATCAATATTATTTCTGTAACGTTCATGGGTTTTAAGGCAGTAGTGACATTCACTCGGTATTCGTGTCAGTCATGTTTAACAATGTTTTGGAGCATTTTTAACTGTGTTGTTGTCGCTTCGTGACTGGCTAGGATTAGAGGACTTCTAGAAAGGTAGGAAGACACTAGGACTGTATGTTATTATCGGTATACCAGTATTCCGCAATATGCTTTTCAAATGAAACATATCTTAATATTTATTCTGAGAACCGGTAGATTGGGTAGGGAACATGTATGAAGTTTTTGTTAGTATCTTTATGGTGTATATTAAAATCTACACAGTTTCATTCACAACAAATGTTTTACTTTGTTATTCAGTGGCAAAATGACATACTATAAAGCTATAAATTTATATTTAAACAAAGAAAATAGAATCAGTGACTATGCAACTTAAATTTTAGCTTGCTGTTATCAGAACCATAACATGTATGTTTAGGGACTTATAATATAGAAAATAGGATCGACATGTACAAATAGTGTCACCTACTATCAAACGCCTAAGTTCTCAATATGTCGCAATACGGGTACCCGAATCGCGATATATTGCAGTACAATCTATTTGCCAATACAGATCCCTAGAAGACACATCATAGGTTTGTAGTCATGCTCATGCTGGTGTTTTTTTTATTTAAATCAGGATTTATGTAAATATGCTCAAATTTGACTTCAAGTGTTAGTCAAAATTCCAAATTTGAAATAAAACAAAAATATTAATTTGGTCATAATTTCGTACAATGGTTTGCTCATGGTGACTTGTGTTTCACTGAGAACAGTGCCAGTAAAGAGGACAAGACATTTATTATAATTCTACATGATTGCTCTGAATGCAATATTGAGATTCAGTGTTAAAATATCTCTGAAATTATGAAAATTATAACTTTGAAAAATACCAATTGTTAATAAATTAAGTTGTTTGCCTGCCATGGAGTGGATCTGAAATAAATTATTGTAACGACTGTTCTCAACATAGCAAATAGAAATTCGTCTAAGGAACACGTCTTTGTTCAACATTATGTGTTCCTGATTAAACTGACACTCAGTGATATGACTGAAATATTGTTTAGAACGGTGTTAAACTCGAGTCACTGCCTTTCCATTTCTGATCCTAAGCTCTATGTAATTTGATCAAAAGCTTTATGATCAGGTTTGTGTAACAGAATCTACTTAGTGTATAAGAAAGTCCTGTGTTCTTGATTCGTACTGGTGAAAGTTTCATATTGTTGAAAATTCTGGATCCCTTTTAACAAAGCGATCTTAACGCTAAGATGATGAAAATCTCATACGTTAACATAGACTGGCGACAGACATGGTATGGAGAAAGTTTTGTGAAACAGTCCGGTTTCTATTCTTTTAGGTCTTTCAGGTTATGTACCATGTCAATTTATTTGCAATTTGTTCTTAATCAAATACTCATTATGTGATTCAAATGCTCAGTCTGTGATTTGTGAATGTCAAACTCTTCCATTCATGCTATAGGCTTTCCCATTGTTGCATACAAGCTAAACTGAGATTAGAATGGAGAGGCAAACAGATACGATTCTGTAGGTAATTATTGACTGTGCTGGCCAGACCAGCTATTTGCTCTGCCACAGCAATGAGAGCTAGCGTAAGTGTTGACAGTTGATAGATTGAGTATAGAGGTGGCTGTGTCATTACCCCAGATGAGTTATCTAGCCGACGCCCTGGCTTAGGTCGGGCTGACTTTGCGACAGGTCATGTCAATTCTTTCTAATTGATTTATAGACACCATAAACTTGAGGTGAGGTCATATAAAAAGTATCACATTTTTCAGTGCTGGAGTAGACTGCACTGGTCTGTGATGGATTGTTCTAGGAGTAAGATTAAGATAAGTCATGGGAAGATTATGCCTGATTTAGGTGGATTATACTGCTGCTATGTATGGGGTAGAGAATGCTAGAAGTGGAGTGGATTATGGTAGGTCTTGGGTGGATTATGCATGATGTGGGATGGATGTGGGGTGGATTATGATATGTCTTGGGAGGATTATGCTTGATGTTGGATGGATTATGGTAGATGTAGGGTGGATTATGCTTGATGGATGGATTATGGTAGGTCTTGGGTGGATTATGCTTAATGTTGGATGGATTATGGTAGGTCTTGGGTGGATTATGCTTGATGTTGGATGGATTATGGTAGGTCTTGGGTGGATTATGCTTAATGTTGGATGGATTATGGTAGGTCTTGGGTGGATTATGCTTAATGTTGGATGGATTATGGTAGGTCTTGGGTGGATTATGCTTAATGTTGGATGGATTATGGTAGGTCTTGGGTGGATTATGCTTAATGTTGGATGGATTATGGTAGGTCTTGGGTGGATTATGCTTAATGTTGGATGGATTATGGTAGGTCTTGGGTGGATTATGCTTGATGGATGTATTATGCTTGATGGATGGATTATGGTAGGTCTTGGGTGGATTATGCTTAATGTTGGATGGATTATGATGGATGGATGTTGGATGGATTATGGTCTTGGGTGGATTATGCTTAATGTTGATGGATTATGGTAGGTCTTGTGGATGGATGGATTATGCTTGATGTTGGATGGATTATGGTAGGTCTTGGGTGGATTATGCTTAATGTTGGATTATGCTTAATGGATGGATATGGTAGGTCTTGGGTGGATAATGCTTGATGGGTGGATTATGGTTGATGTAGGGTGGCGTATGCTGGATGTATTGTAGATTATGGTGGATAGGTTGAGTATGGTAGGACTAATTTGGATTATGTGATGTGGGATGGATTATTCTAGGATAGGTATGGATTATACTAGGTCTGATTTGGATTGTGCAAGGGTGGGTTTTGTTAAATGGAAGGTGGATTGTGCTCCGTTTAAGGTGGATTATTCTAGCTTGTGTGGATTGTGAAGTAAGATTGGATTAACTTTGAGCCTAAAATGGATTATATGTGAACATGTTTAAACATAAGTGGATTATGCTAGATATTAATTGGAATCTGTCAGTTATAGGTTTCGATGGATTATACTTGATATGGTGTAGCTAGTTGTAGCTTGGAATATACTAGAGTGAGTGAGTGAGTTGGAATTAGTACTCAGCAATATTCCAGCTATATGGCGTCGGTCTGTAAATAATCGAGTCTGGACCAGACAATCCAGTGATCAACAGCATTAGCATCGATATACGCAATTGGGAACTGATGACATGTGTCAACCAAGCCAGCGAGCCTGACCACCCAATCCCGTTAATCGCCTGTTATGACAAGCATGGGTTACTGAAGATTGTAACCTGGATCTTCACAGGTCTTGGAATATACTAGATATTGTTTGGATTATTTTAGATATAGTTGGGATTTTGATAGTTTGTCATACAGATCCTGAAGCAAATATAGCCAAGAAAGACCACACTAGTCTAGAAAATGTGGCAAGTCTAGATTTCCACAGCTTCTGAAAATGAAGAAAGTCTCTGGGCTCCTTTTCATTATATATTTTTTTTTTTACTATGAACTTTTTTTCTATAAAATATGTTCATTTCAGAGACTAGTTGTTAGTCTAGGATTATGATAACTATTGGGTGGATTATACAATGAATATTTGGTATCATCACAGATATAATTGGGATTATGCTAGTTATTTGTTAGTTTATACTATATTTGTTTCAGATTGAGCAAATTATTGGTGTATTATATCAGGTATAGTTTCAGTTTGGATTATGTTTGGATTATACTAGTTAGGGTTAAGCTGGGTGTGGAGATGATTATTCTTGGACACTGGCATTAGGGGTGGGCGATAATACCGGTTAACCGCTATATTGCAATTCGAACTTCACAATACGATATATTGCGGTATACTTTTCGGAAACCGGTTCACCCAATACTGATCGGTAATGTTTGTCATGTAGTCAAAACTACTAGTACGATTTGTATTTCCTTTATATTATTATACATTGATAGTTTTGAGAATGTTTAATGGTCATATGATTGCATTTGCGTGACTTTTAAACCATATAAATAAAAAGAAATAGATTGCAATTGGTACTGGCAATGGTTGCAAGGATAGACAAACCAATATGGCGGACACCGCTACAGACGCCACTCGAGTTCCAAACTTTAGAGCGAAGTCTTCAATTTGGAAACATGTTGAATTGATCTCTTGCACAATCACATCTGAGCCCTATCAGTGGCCAGTGGCATTGTTTCAAAAGAAAGGAAACAGTAATTTCAAAACCCTGTGTTACACTTTCACAATATATTGCAATACACCAACACATATCGCAATATATCGCAATCCGTAAAATTTGTCAATACCCAACCCTAACTGGTATATTTGACAAAGATGGACGCGTCAGGCTGGACAGGGATTGATAACACTGGGATTTCATGTTTATCTATGTATCCCATCTAATATCCAGTATGTTTGTGACGCACAGCTGTTTTATGTGTCTAACATTTATGTGCAGAAATGATATAACTACAGGAAAACACACAACGTGATGACAGGGAGCAGTGTATCATCTGTAGGTGCTGCTTCCTAATTACGTTAAGTGTGGGCACACAGAAGTATTATAATAACAATAATAATAACAATTCATTTATATAGCGCCTAGTATCCATCTGACTAGTTGCTCACTGGACGCAATTATGCCAGGATTAGCTGTTCAGTGTTCTGCTTGCTTAAATAAAGCAAATAGACAATCACAATCATTTTAGAAACTAACGATGATTATATGATTCTCCAAATCAGTAGATCGATGCTCATGCTGTTGATCACTGGATTGTCTGGTCCAGACTCGATTATTTTCAGACCGCTGCCATATAGCTGGAATATTGCTGAGAGTGGCATTAAACAACAAACCAACCAACCAAATTAATAAACATTCTGATTTTTACCTGGGTGCAGCTCCTTCAGGTTAATCAACCGAACTACAATGATGCTCTTTTCTTGCAGGAAGTGGCAATAAACAGTGGAATCACCGCGGCAGTGTCCAGGGTCAGGCAGCCACACAGGTCAGTGACAATGCTGCTCTCAGGATCACATTGTTGTAGACTAAATGTACTTCAGGATGTTGTGTTTCTTCCAAATGTCCATAAAACATAACAAGATATAATATATTCTTATGAATCTGAATCTCTTCTTAATTGATGAAATCCCCTGTTTCAGCTCTTAACACATACAAAGTGTTACTGGGAGATTTTGCAGGAGTTAGTTTTTGGCAGCTTCTTTCGTAATTTTGGGGCGGTGGGGTAGTCTTGTGGTTAAAGCGTTCACTTGTCACGCTGAAGACCTAGGTTTGATTCCCCATATGGGTATAATGCGTGAAGCAGATTTCTGGTATCCCCTGCCATGATATTGCTGGAATACTGCTCCCAGTGGCATAAAACCATACTCACTCACTCACTCTTTCGTAATTTTAAGAAATCTGTACAATATACAATATGTACAATTCATACAGGTGCACACAGAAACATTATGCAAATATTTGACATCATGATTTGATAAACAGGGTGTTCCAGATATTAATGGCCATCTGATTCATGTAGGTTGGAAGGAGAGGAGAGCCTTCATCGGGGATGGAGGCAGTATCCCAGAATTCCTACCTTACAAGCACAGAGAGTATCTACAGTCAGACGTCAGGCTCGTCCAACTACGGCACCCAGCGCCGCAACTACCACCAGATGGACTACTCCTACACCGGCCTCCCCCTAACTGGCAACATTGCGCTGGAGTTACTGAAGCAGACGCAGAATACGAAGTACCTCCTTCGTCAGGGCAACGAACAGCAGCAGGATCAGCTACCAACTAACTCAGCAACCAACTTGAGTCAGATCAGTGAGGGGTCGTCCTACTCCAGTGGTTCCTCACAGATTCATCCAGGTCACAAGAGTCACAGTGACAACAGGCTCAACAATCTCAATAAGGGTTAGTTTAGTAAACAAATCATGTAGAGATTTCAATTTTAAGCTGCCGATATTTTTCCTGTATTCAGCTTTCGGCTTAGGTTGTCGTACAGACCCTGAAGCAAATATATCCAAGAAAGCCCACGCAAGTCTAGAAAATGTGGCAAGTTTAGATTTCCTCAGCTTCTGAAAATGAAGAAAGTCTCAGGGCTCCTTTTCATTATATTATATTATTTTTTACTGTGAACTTTTTTCAGTAAAATATGTTCATTTCAGAGACTAGTTGTTAGTCTACTTTCGGCTCTGCAGTGTCATTTGTTAGTTTCCCAGAAAAGTGTTACCAATGAGGCTGAAAATTCACATGCTCATTCCAATTAGTGATGAAACCTGATTTTCAATGCGTAGTCAGCATGCTCAGTATTTTCACAGTATTCATCTGTCCCCTTATTACTAAACTGTCTTAGTGTAGTGGATGGAGTGTTTGCTCTAAGAGCAGCATGTCAATGGTTCATACCGAAAGATATCAAAGTTACTTATTTACGTGCCTGGTACTCAACATTATTACTGGACCACTTTGTGTAAGTATAATGTGTCTGAGAGTGTATCCAACTGAGGCATGGAAAGTAGACTCTCGTTAAACCAGATAAAGGCCAGACTTATACAAAGAGACCAACATGAGATCACCTCACCTCACCTCACCTCACAACAAACCAACCTGGTTATTTCTGTGGTCAGAAACCATCATGTGTTACAACAGCAACTGTATCTCCCATGTTTCTGTATCAGATGAGCCGATAGTGCCAAAACGGAAGGACTCCCTCCAAGCCCACAGTAAAGCCAGCAAGTTCTCCCAGCACAAGAAGAACCAGTTAGACGTGTCCCCCCTCAGCAGCAACAACAGCAGCCCACGCTCCTCAAACAAGTATGTTTGCAACTCCAACACTGTTTTAACTAAGTCATACCTCAGAAATATGACTACGAAACACTAGGCCATGGCTGTACAATGGCTGGGTTCAGTTGATTCAGTGGTAAACCTGGCAAACATCTGTGAGTATGCATCATAGACGTTTCCTTCTGAGTAACAACACCTGTTGCACCATGAACAACAAGTTGAACAATATTTTAAGTCTCTGTATCTGTTTGCTGACTTATCAGGGATAATTCCGCCAGTTTATCAAATACTTTCATCAGTTGAACTCTATATGTTAGCTTTTCTAATTTGTGATGCTTTTAGACAATCATTTTGGGGTAAAGGCCCTTCAGTTTATTCCATCATACATTTCTAAGACCCGTCCTAGTCCATTTCTTATAATTAAAACCTGCTTTTATACAAATAGTCTCCAAGCCAGGTTTATGTTTATTGCCCTAGTTCTGTCATATTTCAAATATATTTGCTGTAAATATATCAGGAATTTGTCTAGTTTTGTTATTTTTCTTGAAATGTTTTGACACACTCTGCTGATATTTCAGGAATTTGTCAGGCATGTCTTCCGAGGAGTCCCTGGCCACACGGCTCCGCCCCGGCGTCATGAACCACCTGCGGTCAGCCCGCACCACACCCAGTAACTTTCAGGAGGAGCTGATGAGGCTCATTGACCCAGACATCTCCGAGAAGGATCTTGCTACCTACACAGTAAGTGGAACTTCCCACAGTCAAAGAATTGCTAAAACTGAGTTCCAAACCAGGTATGCTACATGCAGATGAGAAACAACAAATACAAGATCCAAACACAGAGGAAAACAGCTTATGTTTGAGGTTTCTCAAGTAGCACTGGAGCAGTACACACTGAGTGAGTGAATGAGTATGGTTTTACGCTGCTTTTAGCAATGTTCGAGCAATATCACGTCGGGGACACCGGAAATGGGCTTCACACTTTGTACCCATGTGGGAAATCGAACCTAGGTCTGGCATAACGAGCAGAAGCTTTAACCACTAGGCTACCCCAAAGCCCCAGCATACAAAATCTAAAAGATCTTTGTCACTTTTACTTCATTGATTATGTTATCTGTGTTTTCAGGTCAAGGGCCCAAGTCAGCGACGCACCAAGAGGATACAGCGGACAATGTCTGATGAGAGCCTACACAGCACCAAGGGTACAATCAGTGCTAGAGATGTAAACCACATCGGCAGTGATGTCATCTTCACCACAGCAGTGCCAGCACATGTGGCAGCCACACAGCAAGATGAACTCTCTAAGGAACAGAGGTGAGCAGAAATTAGGTTCAGATAGGGTCATGTGATGGATGAGAGCAGATGATTTAAGATATATGACTGGGTGAGATGATGAACGAAATGTAACATAAGATGACATAACATATCTGAGACCAGGTATAATGTTACTGTTGGAGATAAGATGAGGTAATGAAATGTGATGATAAGAGATTTGATAATAATCTAATTCATTGTTCATTTAGATATTAACATATTATTACTTCCCATATTCCTATTCTTCATTCTTACACATTCTTCAGAACATGTCTTGTTTTAATGAATATTTATATTTGTAATGATTGTTTTGTCACCAGACTGTCTCCCAGAGCTGTTCTCACCTCCAAGTCCCGCCCACGAAGTCGCACAGCTGGAGAAGTTCGAGGCCACAAGGTTCCTCTCCCTGAGTCAACGGCTGGCCTAGACTGGTCTAATTTGGTGGATGTAGCTACAAAGGCCATTGAATGTGAGCAACAATTAAAGCTTTAAGTGTTCAAAGTACTGAACCTAAATATATTGATGTCACAAACTGATATTCCTGTACCTCAACTGTGGGACATCTATGAAACTGACTGTGTTACACAATAAACTGGAAAAAATATTAAAGGAGAGAAATATATGGTGTAGACAATATGTTAGTCTAACAAATTAAATTGAATACAGGAACTTATGGCGATTCCATATTCAACTTGTCTCTAGCAGACATAGTGAGTAAGTGAGTTTAGTTTTACGCCACACTCAGCAATATTCCAGCTATATGGCGGCGGTCCGTAAATAATCGAGTCTGGACCAGACAATCCAGTGATCAACAGCATGAGCATCGATCTGCGCAATTGGGAACCAATGACATGTGTCGACCAAGTCAGCAATTCTGACCATCTGATCCCATTAGTCGCCTTTACGACAAGCATGGGTCACTGTTTGGGTTGGTTGATTTGTTATTTGATGCCGCACTCAGCAATATTCCAGCTATATGGCGACGGTCTGTAAATAACCGACTGTGGACCAGACAATCCAGTGATCAAGTGCATAGGTATCGATCTACGCAGTTGGGATGTGATGACATGTGTCAACCAAAACATCAATCCTGACCACCCGATCCCGTTAGCCCCTTTTACAACAAGCATGGGATGCTGAAGACCAATTCTAACCCTATCATTTTTATAGTAACAAATAAACCCATTTAAATGAAAAGAATCCCCAGTCAGATGGGAAATTCAGAACCTGAGGGAATCTAAACTTGCTTCATTGAGGGCTTTAGCATTGCCTGGAGGCCAGGCAGTAGGGAAAATAATGTGGTTCAGGGACTGTGAAACAGACAAGGGAGTATACTGAAGTGTAATTTGCAAGTGAAATGTCATATAGATCATCTTTTCCAAACATGTTTGTTAGCCACGAAGATATAATTGTTAGTGGAGAGCCAAAGTACAAATTACAACCTGCTTGTTGACTAAGATCTACCTCATTATAAGGCATTTTGGGGAAAGTTTTATTTCAAACATTTTTTATAATTACCATGCCTTCATAAGTGAATGTATTGTATAAACACAACTGTTTGGGTTGATAACTACAGATGTTATAACGAGGATGGTTGTGTTTAGTTGTGTTATAGTGAGTTTCATGCATGACTGCATCCCATACAATCATTATATGTAGAAGCTGAGGATAAGGGTGCAGTCAGGCAGGTTTAATAGAGCAAAGTGTTACATGATGCACCTGGGATGGTTGACAGGTGTGTCTCTGTCTAACACAGCTGATGATGTGAGCTTTGTTTATGTTATCTTAATTGTGATTTTATGAAGGTGTTTACATGAAATAGTCGTACATTATGACATACTAACAACTAAATCTAACTATGTCTTTGAGTAATGAGTCAGGATAGGTATAAAATAATATTTTTAAACTTAAGAATACATTTTGTTCTGTTTTGTGATATCTTTTAACTTTTTTGTTACTTGGTTTATAAATTGTGTACGAACACAAAATATTATTTTAGCCTTGGTCTTGGTATAGAGAATGTAACCTGTGTCTTATGTTTATTGAGAGAAAACAGCAATACTTATGTTAATATATCAGTATCGATATTTTGATGAGGAAGTATTTCAGGAAAAAGTTGTTCATTTGTTGTACTTTCCTCATTGTTTGAGGCACTAGGAGTGGAGATACACAGCAAGTATGTCCTGACTACTTGGGTCATTCAGCTTGAAAAGAAAGTCTCTTTCATGTAATGTTTTGTGTCAGGTGACTTGCCAGATGGAAGTGGGATGGATGTACAGAATGAGCCACAGTCTAGGGTGTCCAGGGACCTCTCAGAGGATGTGCCCCGGCCCCGTCCCCCTACCCCACAGGACAGTGTACTAGGGGCCACGTCAAGGTCAGTACTACTGGGGCACTCCAGTACCACCCCCCACACACATAGACATAACAGACACCTACAGATGGACACACGCAAACACATGCTTGCTCGTTCTCTCTCTCTTCTCTTCTCTTTTCTCATGCTCCCTCTCTCTCCCCTTCTCTCCCATCTCATGCTCTTTCTCTCTCTTCTCTTCTCTCATGCTTCCCTCTCTCTTATCTCGAGACCGCCTCCGTGGTGTAGTGGTTAGAGCGTCCGCCCGGAAAGCGGAAGGTCGCAGGTTCGATCCCCGACCGCGTCATACCAAAAGACGTAAAAATATGGTACTTGTTGGTCCCTGTCTGGTGCTCGGCATTAATGGGTACAACAAGGACTGGTCGGCTCGGAGTCAGTATAATGTGACAGAGTGGGGTATTCACGCTTCACTGCGGCGTGGTATCTCAGTGGGCTAGCACTATAAAACCAGCTTCAGTCTGGGCTAGTACAAGCAACCGCACATACACAAACACACGCATGCACGTCGTCATATGAGCGAAATATTCTCAAGCACGACGTAAAACCCAATTTCACTTCACCTCACCTCTCTTATCTCACATCCCTCTTTCTCTCTAACACTCGTTAGAATGGTGGATCTGTTTTCATGATGTAAGTAACTGATCAAGCAAATGTAGGTTATCAGATGGTGAGTCAGATACATCAGAAAGGGAGTACGTACATATATACTGAACAACATTAGAAACGCACCACCCATATAATACGAAATATCCCCGTCAGACTGAAATGTACTCATGATATCTGAGCATCGTCGGCGCATTTTAGTGTGGTGCGTTTCTAATGTTGTTCAGTATATATGCTATGACACTGTACACGTGCTGTATGTAGAGGTGTTGTCATATCTACATGTGATGTGTTCCAGCAACATGTCCAGCTGGCGGTCAGCTGGTCTCAGTCCGCAGCAGGTGGTGGAGGAGCTGGAGATGAAGGTGGTGCAGCTGCAGCAGGACCTGGATAAGGTGAGCTACAACTTTATGGATACTGTCAGGATCAGATGAACACATGAAACATTATTCAAAAACAACTTTTTATTATTTGTAAAAATGTTTCATGGCTATGAAAGGACTACCATGTTTTGAAACATTGCTACTTTCTAGACAGTGTTATCCATAATTGTGTCTTCATGTATTTCAACTTGAATATGAAAGACTCCAGAATTAGATGATCATTAGTTTGAATCCAAGATTCAAATGGTATGATCTTCGGTTTGTCAGCTTAATGTCTTTGCCACTTTGGGGTTTTTTTAGGACGTGAAGCCATAATGAACTGAAATATTCTTCATAGTAAAAGTGAACCAAGTTTTTGAACTTGCTAACTATTGAATTACTGTGATTAGAAATATGATTTCAAGAAAACTCTGTCTGCCCAGTGATGAAAGCATAAGGGGAATGTCTAGATACTATACTGTAGTCATGATACTAAATTACCTTGAGGTGAAATGTCCTTTGTCTGGTTCCAGGAGAGCCGAGAGAAGTCTGCTCTTGAGACCGAGGTTCAGCAGCTGAGATCGGACAACGTCCGTCTCCAGGAAGAATCTCAGACAGCAGCGGCACAACTACGCCGCTTCACAGAGTGGTTCTTCAACACCATCGACCGCCAATGACTAGCACGTCAGTGTGACTGGATCCAGCTGGAGTTCCAGCAGCTCTGCAGCGAGCTGAATCACCTGCAGAAGAATGAAGACTGCTGAAGTTATCTCCCCTAGGGAAGGGAGATAACTCTGAAATAAGGAAGAGGAAGTTTTGTGCTTTCTGATATGGCATAAGCTGCATAAAGACACAAGCATACGCATACTGGGGAGTAACTGTTGCTTTCAATGTCATTTGGATTGCAAATGGACCTTTCTGGAGTTTACAACCACAAAAACTCATATGTTTTGAAAATGACAAACTTTTCCTGAAAAAATGATATTGTTTATTCTATAATGGCGGATCATTCTAGTCCATGCTTTCTTCAGAAATGGCAACAAGGAAAAGTAAATTTGGACTTGTGGCAACAAGATAGAAACATTATTAGTTCTTGGTCAGAGGTGTGATTTCACCCCAGCCATTGAATTCCACTGCCATCTGAACAAGTATTTCAACAGAGAGAACTGATTTTACAACTCTGTTTGTGACTGGTCAAAAGAAAATTAACTTCCTATCTCTAGAATCCGGACAGCCTGGTACTTCTTATTTCCAGTTTGTTAAAAGTGTAGCATCATGCTCTCTTCACTGTACCATTTGCCGTGTGTCAACACCATATGTCTGAACCACATACATTGAAACCATAGGTTGTTCAACTGTTCAACCAGCCATTGCTGAAACCATTCTTACTGAAGTGATAATTAACAATGAACCAGTTGTCTCGGAAACCATCTGATGAAGAGGTCATTGTGAAATATTTGTGCAAGCAACCAGCCATTGCAGAAACAATGTTTTCTCAGTGAAAGTCATTGTGGCAAGTGCCCAGCAGCCAGCAGAACTGCAAGTCATTGTGCTCTTCCAAACTCCAGTCCGACATCTTGTCCAGTCACACTGCCCTTCCCAGGGAGGAAGGAGAACTATTTTGTGGGGATTGTAACCTAGGCATGAACCTAAGCGCTACCCATATGGGGATATACTACATTCGTCCATTGAGAGGAGTTCTATTTGGTGCAACATTTGTACAGGATTTTTGAAAGACGAGCTGCGATGTCCAAATTGTGTATAGTTGTCAGTTGTGCAGGTCAAGGCCATGTTTATATAGCCCATCTGCTCCCATGGCATGTGTTATGTGTACATTAACTCTTTATAACCTCATTGAAATGCCTCATAATATACTTTATCTGTAGACTTGTACTCATAGGTCATATTTCTTCAATTTTAGATACATGTACCAATACCATTTATATTTGCCATGTCTCTGGGCTTATATTTGTGAAGTGTTTTGACTAGATATTTTCATCTTTTGCAGTCCTATACATTTGTGTATAACTAAACCAGGAGAAACTTTCTTCAAGCCAGAAATAGAGAGTCTTCCTTTACTGTCTAAATAGAATAGTCCAGTTGATCTCGTACAGTATTGAACGTGTTGTCTGTGTACTTAACCCCTAGCTTGAGGATCCAGTTATGTAACTTTTTTATTGACTGACAAATTCTGCCTATCCTGGTACATTTAGATCAGTAGATAGTCTCTTCTGCTGAAACACTGCTGTGGTTGTTCTCTTTTAAGATCAAATAATTTCCTGAGGAACTTCCTGTCTGATCATCCATAATGGTAACGTAATGGTCACATTGAAATTACTCTCTGCCTCATGAATATTCTTGAAGATCATCCTTGTACATGAAAATTAACATCAGTGTAAATTATGTAGAGTAGAGTTATCCCTCATCAGAGTTGTTGCCCAACAGAGCTCGTAACAAGTTTCCATGGAAACCTGAAAATAGACAATGTACTACTTCTGGTCATGTTGTAAAATGCTGTGTTAAACTGGTCTCAGAATCTGTTTTCCATCCAAGTACAATACTCTTTATATAGTCAGTGTAAATAGTCTTACATTCTAACTTATACTTCCTTACACTTCTTCCCTTATGTCTTCTGTCTGTCAGGGAATGGTTTTGTAGGATGTATGGTGTTTAACAAACCACTGAACTATCCATACATCTATAGGCCAACATACAAGGATTGTCAGCTACCTGCTCAGCAGATGATATGCTGTTCCAAGTCAGCAGGAAATGTGTATTGAAACAGGAATGTGCCTCTATGCTGAGTTTCTATTGTATTGAATACAAAATACCCATGGAGTCAATACACCTATGGAAGGAAAGTACTTGTGAAAGTGAAAGAAGATAATGTTTCCTGATCGTAGAAAGAGGTTGTGACATTTCATCCAATGCAAAACAGGCATGTGTGATATGAAAGTACTATCTACCAGTGTGTATAAGTGTTCATACCACTGGTTACAATAATTCCCTTAAGTTAACTAAATATGGTTTGTTAGGGTGTCTAGTCATCATGTAGATGATGAAATACATACAATTGTATCCTGTAGCTGCCTTGTTTGCAAGATCTGGATCATATCATCCCTATTTGAATTATAGTAGGTCTAGTGATGCAGGTTGTGCTGTTTCATATAGAAGGTTCAAATCCATTTTTGCCCAAAATTATATTCTAGGTTTGTCAGCACCATAATCTTCCTCGATGGTTTCCTTGTCGTAAGAGGTGACTAATGGGATCGGGTGGTCAGGCTTGCTGACTTGGTTGACACATGTCATCGGTTCCCAATTGCGCAGATCAATGCTCATGCTGTTGATCACTGGATTGTCTGGTCCAGACTTGATTATTTGCAGACCGCCGCCATATAGCTGGAATATTGCTGAGTGCAGCGTAAAACTAAACTCACTCGATGGTTTCACCAAAGTGGTGAACGTCCGAGACTTGTGTCACTTAGGGCTATCCTCCCATGTCAGGCTGACACACTGTGCTATAACTGGAATACTGGAAAATCCAACTCTCAGTCACACTTCCTACGTCTCGGTCTAGAAGTTTCTTAAATGTCGAGACGGTGGGGTAGCCTAGTGAATAAAGTGTTCGCTCGTCACTCCAAAGATCCGGGTTCGATTCCCCACATGGGTACAATGTGTGAAGCCCATTTCTGGTGTCCCCCGCCGTGATATTGCTGGAATACTGCTAAAAGCGGCGTAAAACCAAACTCACTCACTCATTCTTAAATGTGATCTTTCCAAAAAGGAAGACAGTGATGACATACCATGAATCATTAGCCATTAGCCATAAGCTATCAGCAGGTTAAGCAACCTAAAGTACCAAGTCAGTTTACATACTCAACTACTTCATCATTTAAATTATCTCCCTTTGGTTTTAACAGTCATGAGTAATTTCCGTCCAAGCCTTGCTCTTTTGTTTCCCCACATTGAATCACAGACACTTTGTTACAGCTCCTCCACACTGAACCACATGTTATGTTTTACATTTTCTAATACTAGTATATTATCCATGTCAGCTTGTATTGGTTTGTGTTCTCTGTGCGAATAGAACACTGTCCAAATATTTGGACTGAAATTCCAGTCTGCAAAGAAAATGTCAGTCAGATGAAATACTTCTACTTTTATGAAAGGTCACATTTTTCTTGGCAAAAATTATTGAGAGTAGAGCAGCAGTGTTTTTTGAACAATGATGTCACTGTGCTGTAACACTGCATCATGACGTCATCATGCTGGGGGACGTCGTAGGAATATCGGTACAAGTTAGAAATTTAGGGAAATATGTAAAAGTACATGGTTCTAACTATTTGCTAAATGTAAACGTTATGTTTCTAGTAGATGAACTTTTTTGTATATTTGGTTATGTTAATTTATAAAGTCAAATACCATTAATTATACCTTTGTACAAGACCATAAAGACAAAGTAATAACCAAATAGGCTGTATGTGTATTTGGCAAGGTGATTATGAGTACTCGGAACACAAATGAGTACAAATGTGCCTTCCTTTTGTCTCAGCTGGAAAGTTTGTTTCCTCATTGTGTCGAGCCACCGACCCTTGGAAAAGTAAATAATCTCAATACTGACCTGAAGGAAATATATGTTGACAAATACTTAATACTATTTATTGTCTTAAATAATTTTTTTAAGTCAAACTTATTTACGGAATAAGATTTGTGCTTGTATGTAAGGCATGATAATTTTTTCTAAGTATATTTACCCCAAGGGTACATTATTTAATGGCTTGTTTGTGTTAGCATTCACTATGTTTGTAGGATATATCATCTCCATTTCATCGATCTACGCAATCAAGACCATCTTACCAGCAGTAAATATGTTGCCCGAGTGTAATAGAGGCACATACTGATAATTGTTAGCGTACAGTTTGAAAAACACTTACAGATTTCAGTATGCATACAATAAACATAAACACAGCTCCAAATAAAATGCGCCATTGATAAAGATAGAGATAGTTCCTATTTGATCCTTCAGACTAATCCTGTGTCTACCTGCATTGTTAGAAACAAAAGAAAGTTATTTCAATTTTGGCATCCTGTCACTAAGATGGGACGGTGCACAGGACATTTTCAAGGAAACCTTTTTGTTTTTGAAGAGTTGTACCATAATAAGTGCTTTTTCTGATGATGATATTGATGAGATTTGGTTTCTCAAGATCACACTAGAGCACATGACTTCATCAGTGACTTCCTTTAGTTTTGAACAATTCATGTTGTATTTAAAACCACTGTAATTTCCATATGGTTGTAAGTGTTGATCAAGTACAGTGAGGTGAGGTGAGGTGAAATTGGGTTTAACGTCGTGCTTGAGAATATTTCGCTCATATGACGACGTGCATGCGTGTGTATGTGTAAGTGCGGCTGCTTGTACTAGCCCAGACTTCAGCTGGTTTTATAGTGCTAGCCCACTGAGATACCATGCCGCAGTGAAGCATGAATACCCCACTCAGACACATTATACTGACTCCGAGCCGACCAGTCCTTGTTGTACCCATTAATGCCGAGCGCCAGACAGGGACTGTACAGTGATACAGATGTGATGTTGTAGGGCTCTGATCAGCAACATTTGCCAGGATAACTACATCATTTGACAAAATGTTAATTGTAACAATCACATGTTCAATTAACATTAAGTGTTATCAGAAGCAATATTCAGTATTTATATTAAGCAAAGGAATGCAAAGCTGAAAATAGATATAAATTTTCACTTGTAAAATTTACAGATGTGATCATCATTATTTTATGCCCAGTTTTAATTCCTGTGTGTTAAGACAGGATGCAGTAATGTGATGATATTACCAAGTCAGCTGGGAATGTGATAGATTCATCTATGCAATAACTCCCATGAATATTCTCCTGACACTGTGAGAACTTTAAGGAGAAAGGATTTGGTAATTGATAACCTTGTACATAGGTTATATTTTGTCAGTCTCAAACAAAGAATGATAATGTTTATAACATTCTGTAATTGTATTATATGTTAAGCTTGTGTTAATATGGCAGCCAGAGGTGAAATTTACTGTTACCAGTGGATAATTGTAAATTTATCAGGAAATTAAATACAAGTCACCATATTTAAGATTAGACGACAGATTATATTTTGAAAATTGGCATAGGGTAAATTTATGAAATATTTTAGTTTAATAAGTGATGTATTTATGTCCTAAAGTCTGTTTAAATGTTCCTGTGACTCTGATGGTTGTGAACGCAGTGCTGTGTCACGAGTTATATGCCAGGTTGTGTCGTTGACTTTTAATTAACTGTTAAACAGATTATAACATTGTTGACAGTTGTGTTAAGTTAACCCTTTGTTACTGAGATTATGTCTTGTTTAGCAGACATTTTCAGGTTATTTTAACTGTTTTGTTGCATTAGTCGGGCACAGATTTCTGTAGGTTAAAGGGTTAACATAGATCAGAGGATTTATATATATTTTCTAGACAACAGATTCTGTTGATATCCATCACTACAGAACAGTATTTTGTTTGTATTTTTGCGTGTTTACTCTCATCGTTATACTCACAGTTCATGATTCCAAGCATAACTTTCTGCTGGTGGTGAAGAGTTTTGTACATTAAAACCAGAGGAAAATCAAAGTGTGAGAGGCAATGTAAATTGATATTTAAGAAATAAACATTTTACAAACTATGACATTTGGTTTTAATTATGCTCACATAGCAAACTCTTTTTCTTTCTTTTTTCAATTTGCTACATAGTGGAATGTCTGGCAATGCCCATTGCCCTATGTATGTCTGTTGTGTACAAGTAAGATCCAAAATACTGACGAGTTACCCACAAACAGTTACAGACTGTCATGATCAATGAAAGATCAGTCATTGGTAACCTGTGGGGATGGGTTACAGAGTGCTGGTCACTGATCTCTGTTACCAGTTACCCGACCCATGAAGATCCAGGTTAGAATTGGTCTTCAGTAACCCATGCTTGTTGTAAGAGGCGACTAACAGGATCAGGTGGTCAGGCTCACTGACTTGATTGACACATCATCATATCCGATGTATAGATCCATGCTCATGCTGTTGATCACTGGATTGTCTGGGCCAGACTTTATTACTGACAGACCACCGCCATATAGCTGGAATATTGCTGAGTGTGGCATCAAACAACAAACCAACCAATGTTACCAGTTACCCATAGAGACGGGATCGCCATGATCAATGTAACCAGCAGAGATGGTAACAAACTGCAGATCATTGTGAAATGAGACATCTGTTACTCAGGGTGGATCTGTGTGGGTGTGCGTGCGTGCATGCACGCATGTTTTGTTAGCACCACAAACAGCATTATTTCAGCTATATCACAGCTTGATATTGTGTCTGGAGCAGATAATATAGCAATTGATATTGTGAGAAATGACCCAAACAGTCATTGTATGATGACATGCCATCAGCATCACGGAGTCTGACAACCCAGTCCATCAAGTCACGCCTGACAACCAGCATGGGCTGCTGGGGTCTCACTCCATTCAACACATGTTCAACATCTGCGGGGCGGTGGGGTAGCCTAATGGTTAAAGCGTTGGCTCATCACGCCGAAGACCCGGGTTCGAAATCCCCACATGGGCACAATGTGTGAAGCCCATTTCTGGTGTACCCCGCCGTGATGTTGCTGGAATATTGCTAAAAGCGGCGTAAAACCAAACTCAGTCAGTCAGTCAACATCTGCCTTCAGCATGGTCATGAGTTGATACAAACATGATCCAAAAGCATCATGACAATCAACATCAAGAAGCTGACAGTTAAATACAGTTGAAAATGAAATAATCATCTTTGTAACCAATTCACACACCTTCCTTGCCATTGCAATGCACCGTTCACATGGCAAACATCGTATCCTGAGACAAGAAAAAATATAACAAACAAAACCATTTTGAGTACACTATTTTTCACCTTGGGTTGATAGTTAATAAATAGATGTTCATCACAGCTTCACACACAAACAGAAAAATGTACATTTCTACAGATAATTGATACAATTTCAGAAGTAAAGAACGCATACTCATGGCAGCAAGCTTATACACATATTTATACACCGATATCACCACCTGCTTCAACATGGAAAGGATAACCATTGACTAACTTGACTGTAATTCATGTTCATTGCATCAAACACTACCAATGCTTTTATAATGTGTCGCCAAGGCAACTCTAATTCCTTACAAATTTATTTTTAAGCAATGATGTATCTGAAATTAGCTCAAATAATATATCCTCAACTGAGCATGGGAAGAAAGGATTAACAAAAGATTGTGGAGAGCTATTCAGAAAGGGAAGGGGAGGTTGAACAGAATCAAAACAGATTCTGGGTCCAGACTGTGCCATTACAAACATATTTAACAAGTCTTTGCATGAAGAACAAGGCCAAAGTAGTGCTGTGATTTATCATGATAATATTGATGTTTTTAAAAAGGTTCAAAGCAGGAGCCCTGACCTCGACAACGTCTGAACTTATGGTAACCGGGGTAACAGGGTTGCAATACGTTGAAATGGTAATAGCATAATGGCCTGCAAGTCAAGGCCTGTTTATTAAAACAGTTTAAAACATGGACAAATTGATAACAGGTAAATTTACCAAACAAAGTTTTCTAAAATTGATGACACAATTGTTTTCGTATGACATGATGACTGCCATGACAAGTCAAATCTAAAATAGCATGACAATTTCATAACATCATCATCATCATCATGTTGAGATCATCACATCTCAAATGCATCAACATTTCAGACATTTTGGTGTAATTTAACATATTTAAGGAAGCTTACGCTCAAATCAGCATATTTATGTCACTTTTCTCAACAATATCATGAACAAGATGTCAGCACAGTGATGAAGTAATATACATCCAGTTCAGGGCCACTCTTCGATCACATCAATATTTTGATCAAAAATGGCTATAAGTGTCTTCATATTCATAATCTTAATGAATTTGGTTCAAATATATTATCACATGATCACTGCCAGCAGTGATTTCCTTCTGTCACCATGATTACATCATCACACTATGTCATCAAATGTATGATGATACTGAACATGTTGAAGCTGAAGAGAACAATTAACATAGGATCAGCTTATGTATAATAACAATAATAACACAATACTATAGTTTTACTTCATCATATTGAAGTTTGTGGGCTTCAAGGTAGCCTCTGGTCAGTAATGGTAATACAAATTGAAGTTTGTGGGCTTCAAACATTCTACCCATGTGCATTATCAGATTGTCATCTACAGACAAGCAGTCAGTTTACATACACATGATCAGTGCTTACTATCTGATGTTGCACTTTTGGTGAAAACATATACCCCACAGCACAAACTGGAACATCACAGATGTACACCATAAAGGATAAACATATTAAACATTTAATATCAGTGTATGAAATAAGGCCCGTCCGACCGCCCGAGACAGGCTAGATTACTGACGGACTGTCTAAATTTACAGCTAGCCAGCCCGATGGTCTGGTGAATTTCTTTTAGATGTCCCATACATCTGAGTAAATTCACCATATTTGGTCTGGTTAAATCCATTTGGGCTGGTAAAATTTTGAAGTTACCAGCCCTGATGTCTGGCTGGATTTTTGGTTTATTTCATACACTGTTAATATGGTAAGCATGAGTGAGTGAGTACAGTTTTACGCCGCTTTTAGAAATATTCCAGCAATATCACAGCGGGGGGACACCAGAAATGGGCTTCACATATTGTACCCATGTGGGAATCGAACCCGGGTCTTAGGCATGACGAGCGAACGCTTTAACCACTAGGCTACCCCACTGCCCCTATGGTAAGCTTAAAAGGTACATTCTTTAAGTCAAATATCTTATCTTATGATGTATGAAAGTTGAAACTTAAATCATGATTAAAGTCTCTGTTCTATGCAGCAACATCTCATCTTAGTATTCAGAAGAGCAATAAATGTTCATGATTATAAATGCAGCACCTAGAGGTCTCCGGTCCTGATTTTCTCCATCTTGAGGGGCAGGAGAACAACCATCTCCCTACTTATACCCAGTTCATTAACCATCCTCCCTTTGATGTCTGGGTGCTTATCGCAATATGTCTCAACAAACTTATAGCACTCTACACTTTTCATCATCAGAGCCAGTCTGTATGGAATCTCTGGTGAAATAATCTTTGAATACAGCCTACCCAAACAAAACATGGCTACCAGTGCTGGACGCACATCATTTTCATGAAATTCCTCCGGAAAGTCTGGCTTTCCATCTTTCAGAGACTCCAAATAAGCATTGTATTGTGCAATACTCTGTTGTGCAAGAGTGTTGATCTTTTTGACAGAATGTGGATTTGGGCCTCTGCCCTCTGCTTCCATTATCCCTAACTTCAGGTCCACCATGGTACTGTAGGTTTCTGCGAGTTCATACATAATTTGTCGACAGACTAGAAGATAATACTTTGGGTTGAGACCAGTCAAGGTATCATTCAGCATGTCAACCCGCCGTTTGTGCATTTTGCACTGACGGTCCATATCCAATTCAAAGAATGCCAGTTCCTTGTAAGCCTTACTGATGTCCTGGATGATTTGGATGTAGTCAGAGCAGTGTCCATCCACAACATAAAACCTTTTTGCATCATTCAGTCGTGTCTGGACTGATAAGAACACTTCTCTTGCTTCAGAAAAATCTCTGACAAATTGATCAGTAATTTTCTCCTCATAATTTGTTACTTCCAGGTTAAATCGTGGAAATGTTTTGCAGTTCTCTATATCTAAAATTACAGATGAGTCATTTTCTTCCTCAGACCTACCAGCTTCTGAATCTGAAAGTGAAAATTTGCTGGCCCCATCTTTAACATCTGCATTGTGATCATCAGGAGACACTTCCTCCCTTGCATCCTCAACCTCTTTCATTAAATAGTCTTTAGAAGCCTCTAGAAGTGCAAGGCCATATTTAGACCAACATCTGTCAATATCAGCTCGCTTCTGTGCCATTTGCTCCTTGGTGTCTTCATCTGTGTCTTCTTCCTTTGATGCAGCTTCTTCAAATATCAATGATGCACTTGCTAAACAATGACGAGCAAAGTGATACATATCAACAGTAATGTAATACTGTGACAGTGTGGCTGCATTAAGAGCCCATTCATCAGCTTTGTATGTAAATGAGTCCAACTGTCTTTGAAGTGTTACATGACAATATTTGGCAGAGTCCTCTTTCTTTTCAGTAAGTGCATAGACTTGGGCAATGTAGAACAATGTTAGAGTATATGTGTCTTCAAAGTGTTTTGATCTTGTCTTAGAAATTGCAGCAATATCATTTTGATCAGACTCGTCGGGTTTGAAATATTCTTCAACAGTATGGGGATCATTTCCAACATCACGTTTGAATTTCTTATACAGCGATTCTGCTTGTTTGAGATATTTCATTGATTTGTCAATGTTCCTTCTTCCTGACCACAATATTGAAAGATGATTGAGAACCGTTTGATAGACGTTAGCGACTTCTCTGTCATACCTCTGATCTTCAAGTAATTGCAGTGAATTCATCAGATGCTCCTCTCCAGCTGCGATTTCTTCAGTATCACTGAAATTGATACCCAGGTAAAAATCTAAAACCGCTAGAAAACGCGTCAGCGTCACATTTTCAGCATCGTCGTTTATGTACCCCTTTAAAGCGGTTCTGATTTCACCATAGGTTTCTCTAGCCTTGTACCTGGACCTAAATGGATCATCTTCGGGGTCATTTTTAGAATCTTCCGTTTCTAGTTTCCTGGCTGCAGAAAATTTTGCATAGCCATCGGTTACAAGATACTCCTTGAAGGTTGCCATGTTGAATCTGACATCAGCGCTGCAGCAAATGCTGAACGTAACATGAATTATTCCTTTTAGTAAATTTTTATATAGTTTTGCTACAAGTCACAAACAATTTCAAGTCACGAATTGTAATATATTGAGAAATTCTATTTCCTGGCGTGAAACTATTTCATTTATACCAATCAACTATCGAATTTCCTTCACTTCGGCTCAGTAAATACATTCCAACTAGTGTTCCGGTTTGGTTGTGAATGTCAACAATGCAGGTGCCCTCTTGAATAAGAGATTCACTAAAGCCTCTTTCTCCTTCGTAATTGGCGTATATTCCAACTTAAACATCAAGATGTCAAAATCGTAAGATATATTGGAATAACAGATATAATAATTTAAGAGTGATGCGTTTGTGGTATTTTGTAAAATGTGTTGTGCTGAATTCTAAACTTGGTCCAGGATGCGATGTTAAGAGAAATATAGTAGGCGTCAGCAAAGTTTAAATATTTAAACTTAAAACGAGCGGTTTGCGGGTACTTAAACATGTTCATCTCTTCCCATATCCGGAAAATAACGTGACTGACACGTGTTTTTGAAGGCTGTGTCTGCTTGAACTTTCAGAACGTTGAACAGGCTTCTCTGTTGATGAAAAGGGACCAAACTGGCTTATTACACTGTCATTGAGAGTTAGGAACTGAAAGCACTGATTTCAACAGCCATCCATTGATGCACTCCATCATAGAAACGCTTTACAACTTTGTTAGTCCATCCACAGACCATATAATAGTGTAGTGTTTATATTGATTACTGGGTAAGTTTCCTCCATTTTTTAAAAGAGATGTTCTGGTTCCATAAAGTCACCAGATATGAGGTTGAGTTGAACCTGTCAATGGTACCTGCTAGAACTGCCTGTTTGCCACTTGAACAAATAATTCTAATAGATTGAAAAAGATTACTGTTTCCTTTGGCATTAGCTATGAACGATAAACATGATACATATCTTTCATTATGATCGAGGCCCCGTTCCTCAAAGCGATCATAGCGCTATGACAGTCGTAAGCCTATGTTAAAGTATGGGAGTTACAATCATCTTAGTGCTACGATCGCTTTGAGGAACGGGGCCCTGGTCTGCTTGATTCTGCTATAAGAGCTAATATATCATCACACAAAATTGTATCAAATTTAGCTAAATAAATGACATGCAATTTTACTGTTGGCTATGACTATTAACACTGACATTAGATATCAAGGCAATTCAGAAAAAAAATATTCTAACAACTCATTGACATCATTTGGAACTTTATCATTTGGAAGTTTAAACTTCTATTATAGATGCAATGGACACCAGCTATTTCTGTACATGCACATTGATACTTTGGATGGGGTAATGCTAAAATCTGCCCAAGCCAATACAGGCCTGTAAATAGCTAGCAACGACTCCTTAAACTTGGTGATTATCTGGATATTGAAGTGTAGCTTTCTTATACTTTTAATTCTGTTTTTCAGACTTTGGAATCTTGCAATAGACCAGGCAAATACTGTCAAAGGTAAGTTACTATCATGCCTACTCTACATATTCTATCTGCGTTATTTCATGTCCTTTAAGTATGTTAAACAGGGAATTTTCTTTTTGTCAGCATCATAAATGATCTCACAAGCATAAAGTATAGTATCTACAGGGAAACATATAGTCTTGTAATAATAGTGCATGTCCAAATTTGGATTTTGTCGACATGCTTTTGTTGCTATGGTGATTTCAAATTGGAATATCAGTAGGTCATCTTTTGAGCAGGTGATTGGGTAGCCAAGAAGTAAGGCTTTGCCCAGTCATGCCAGAGATTCAGGTTTGACTCCCCACATGAGTATAATGTGTGAAGAACTTTTCAAGTGTTCCAGAAAGAAGCATTAAACAATACTTATAAGAGGTAACTGCAATGGGGATTAAGATCGGATGGTCACAGTAGGGGACATGGCTAATTGTGTGTCTACCCAAGTAGTTCCAAGATAGAATTGGTCTTCAGCAACCAATTGCTTGTTGTAATAGGTGACTAACGTGATCGGGTTGTTGGACTCGCTGACTTGGTTGACCCACATGTCATTATATCCCAGTTGCGTAGATCGATGCTCATGCTGTTCATCAGTGGATAGTCTGGTCCAGAGTCGATTATTCACAAATTGAAGTCATATACATGATATAGCTGGAATATTACTGAGTGCTTCATTAAACAACAAACAAACAAAATAGTGTGTTTCCATACTCAGGCAGTATGGACAGTTATTGAAGCTGATAACCAGTTTAGACTCTGCTCCATTTTGATTGTTTAGAGAAAACAAAAACAATATTCAGTCACTTTGATTCATCCATGTCTTCTATATCTGTGAGTTCTGAGTTTATTTCATCATGTTGAACTTGTCACTTTGTGATTTAACTTGGCATATTTTCATCAATGTGTGTTTTTTTCCAGATGAAAATCAAGCATCTGAGGACTCAGCAATCTTCATCACAGGGAGCAAAAACTCAGTAATTAATTATAAATGTATTTTCTCTCAAAACAGAATATTTTTCAGGATATTTAACATTTACTGTAACAAATGATTTCACTTGAACATGAGTAGCTCAACTACTGAAACCAGTTACCATGATATTTAGGATAGGCACTAAAGGTACAACTTGAAGCACCTGCTGGCGCCATTGTCACATGATGGTAACACCTTTGTTAGAGACAATGTGTTGATAGGTAAAACGTATTGATGAGTATTGATTTGATTTGTTATGCACTTAAACTTTATTTGCTAAAATATGTGAGTCTCAGTAAGAATATTGCACTATTTCTAACATATAGATTATAGAATTGCTTAATATTCAATGACTTTGTAACTAGTATGTATGATGTATGTTAAGTAAGTTCATGTATCACTTTCATTTTAGGGGAAAACAAGCATAATTCTGAGATATTTAGACAGGTAAGTCAAGGACTGATTTCAGGTTTAATATCAAATAATAAAGTGTGGAATTAATAGATCTGGTAATGTTTGTTTATTTTTGTAAGAAAAGAATTACTGCTGTTAGCAAGTGTCATTTCAATTAGGTGACATAGTGGTAAAAGAATTTGCCTGTCATACTGAAATACATGGGTACAAAATATGAAGTTAATTTTTCATATTTATTTCACTATGATATCGCTGAAATTCTGTTCAATGCATTTTCAAACCATACTCAGTTGATCTGTTTTACAGTGACTGACTTTAACTCCACCTTCTTATGGTGTTTGAAGTTGTTTGATGTTATTATTCCAGAGATGAGCCTCCGAAGCCGACAGTAGCCTTGGAATACACATTTGGAAGACGTGCTAAAGGACACAACATTGTGAGCTAATATTACAGCTATCAGGGACATGTCAAAGAAAAAAATGTTCATATGTATTTTGAGCAGAATAACCAAAACTCTATGTATGGTCATGTAAGAATTTTTTAAATATATGCTTTATAGAAATCATACTGTGGTTATCTGGTAGTTCCAATCTATAGTTTGTTTCATTCCTGTATACATCCAGTGTAAGTTTTAAGTCCTGTTTAAGACTGCCCTAGATCCAGTTAAAGTCCTGTTTAAGACTGCCCTAGATCCAGTTTAAGGCCAGATACATTTTGATCTATTTCCAGTCTACCGAGTCCTTCCTTTCCTGACACTATCATTGTGACACTGTAAGGAACTAATTAATTAACAAAAGTGTCAACACATTATCATCATCGTGAAGCTGAGATCTTTTAATGTTAATCCATCTTTTTATGTAGCATTTATTCAGAGTATTTTAACATTTCCTTCCATTGTTGGTACGGGTCTCTCTCAGTTCATCTCAAATCTAAAATAGACAAAATTGTTAACACTGCAAGTAAAATTGCTGGAGTCAGATTTGAATGTTTATCATCAATATATGAGCGGCAAATCGTGAATCAAGCTGTCAAAATCATATCTGACCGTACTCAGTACTTAAATTTGGAATACAACCTCCTCCCTTCAGGCCGCCGCTACAAAGTTCCAATTGTGAAAACTAAGAGAGCCCGTACATCCTTTATTCCAAGTACCACATCTCTCTTAAACAAATGTGAAGATACCTAAATCAAAGAATGTATGTAAATATGTTTGGTATCTCTCTAATGTGTCAGTAGCTCTGCTGATGTAACACAAATTCCTGAAAAGGCATTAAAGTATTATTCTATTCTATTCTATTCTATTCTATTCTATTCTATTCTATTCTATTCTATTCTATTCTATTCTATTCTATTCTATTCTATTCTATTCTATTCTAATTGCCTTGATTTCTTTGATGAGCTATGAAACTATTGTGTTGCATGGTCCCGTATATATCAGCAAAGTCATTTCAGTTCCTAGTATCAACTGTACGAATGTTAGAGCCATAGTTTTCACTGCAGGAGTGATTATTCAATTATTAAAAAGATAGTTTTGATTTTCATAAAAACCATCATGACACCATCATGAGTAATCCAGGTGAGCTCCAGCGGTTTTATGGGCGGTGGAGTAGCCTAGTGGTTAAAGCATCCACTCGTCATGCTGAAGACCCAGGGTTCAACTCCACACATGGGTACAATGTGTGAAGCCCATTTCTGGTGTCCCTTGCCATGATATTGCTAAAAGCAGCATAAAACCACACTCACTCACTCCAGTGGTGTTACTTCCATTCTTTCAGTAACTATTAGTATATTTGGGATTACATTGTCTCAGTTTAGTACATATTCTTGTACCACCTTCTTAAAGGCATTGTGTATTCATCCATTCTTTGTTTTGACGTGAAGGCAAAGGATGTGGGACACATCTGGGAGCTGGGTGGAGGAACATGGCTGTCTAAACTCATGGACATTCCCATCAACCCAGAAACTATAATGTGAGTTCTGCAGTTCTCATTCATCATTAATTATCAAATAATCAGTCCTTTAGGTGTCATCTTTTCCATGAATGTGATAGTCAGATGGTAACTAACACTCTAAGTAAGAGCAATTTATATAGGCTATTTAATTTGACTTTATCACTCTTTACCCTTGAAGATCTGGTTTAGAATTGGTCTACAGCAACTCATTGCTTGTCATAAGAGACGGCTAATGGGACTGGGTGGTCAAACTTGCTGACTTGGTGGACAATTTCATATTCCGATACTCATGATGTTGATCACTGGATTGTCTTGTTCTCATTCATCATAAACTGTCAAATAATCAGTCCTTTACGTGTCATTATTTCCATGAATGTGATCGTCAGATGGTAACTAACACTCTAATTAAGACTGACTGACTGACTGAGTTTAGTTTTACGCCGCTTTTAGCAATATTCCAGCAACATCACAGTGGGGGACACCTGAAATGGGCTTCACACATTGTACCCATGTGGGGATTTGAACCCGGGTCTTTGGCGTGACGAGCCAATGCTTTAACCACTAGGCTACCCCACTGCCCCATCTAATGAAGAGCAATTTATAAATTCTTTTTAATTTGACTATCATTCGTTTGTATTTTCAAGACACAAGTACAAATACCTGTGAAGGACCGGTTAGAATTGGTGTTCAGCAACTCCTTGCTTGTCACAAGAGGCGACTAATGATTGAGTTTAGTTTTACGCCACACTCAGCAATATTCCAGCTATATGGCGGAGGTCTGTAAATAATTGAGTCTGGACCAGACAATCCAGTGATCAACAGCATGAGCATCGATCTACACAACTGGGATACGATGGCGTGTCAACCAAGTCAGTGAGATTGACAACTTGATCCCATTAGTCACCTCTTAGGGGATTGGGTGGTCAGACTTGCTGACTTGGTTGACAATTTTGTATCCCATTTGTTCGATGTTCATGTTGTTGATCACTGGACTGACTGGTCCAGACTCGATTATTTACAGCCTGCCACCATATTTACAGAATGCTGCCATATAGCTAGAATACTGCTGAAAACATAATCAAATATCAGTGCAATATGGTAGAATATTCATTTTAAACAAACATCCATTTTCATTGGAAATAGCCATTTAATTTTTCATCTAAATGTGTCAAAGTAGTTTTCAGAAGCCAAATGGAAAATGAATGCATCTGGCAGTATAATACTGAAAGATTGCCAAACTAAGCTTCTTAGTGTGTAGCATAGTCTCTGCCTGCTTGAACCGTGATGATGGTACATGTTTAGGCACACAGGGTTGGTGATTGTCCTTGATCTGTCCACCCCCAAGGAACTGTGGTTCACCCTGGAGAGTTTGCTGACGTCAGCACGCTCCCGTGTGGAGAACGTCATCGCTGAGATGAAACAGGCTGATCCTCACATCAGAGACAAACTGAAAAAGATGGCGTGGGAAAGAATTGGAGAGGAACACCCAGTAAGTATTGTGAGGGAGTGAGTGAACAGTGTTCTGTTTATATCAAGGCATTTTATTTGGCTTTTTCTATATTTTCACAACTTGCTGAAATCTTTTAAATGTATCAACGTTAAATAAAAATATAGAAACAAAATTCATTTTACAAAACTTCCATACATGTAAATGAAGAGTTACTTTATTAAATGTTCTGATGATACCTCATTGAAGATACACCAAGGTTGAGTGTCAAATAAATCAAATTATTAATTTTAGACAGAAATTGAATACAGCAGATCCGACTTTTATCATTTACATGAGAAAATATGGTTACTGAGTGGATATTTCAATACTGTATGATACCTTCTCCTAAGAAGATTATAATATCATATGAATGCATAATGTACGTAGATGGAAGTCTCTTCTACGTACTTGAAAGTATCTTCTACATAAATGGGGATTTTTTTTAGAGTGTGGCTCTGATACACTTTGATAGTTTGTTGTTAAATGCTCCAGTCAGCAAGTTTCCGTCTGTAAACAATCAAGTCTGGTGATTGACAATGTGAGCATCAATCACGCAACTGGGATAAGATGACATGCTTCAAACAAATCAAGTCTGACCTACTGATCTCATTTGTTGGCTCTTACTACTAGCATTGCTTGCTGATGACCAATTCAGACCTGGATTTAACAGCTTTATCAAAAGTTAATTATTGTCCCTCTAGATTGTCTTCTCTAAGGACATTTTTCTAGTTGTTTTTAGGGAACTATTTTTCTTATTCCAGGACAAGAGTATGATTGATCCCTTCCTGGTCCCGCTGGTCATTGTGGGGAGCAAGTATGACGTGTTTCAGGTGAGGAATCTGTTTGATAATATATTTGTTTGTTTCAAATTGCACTCAGCAGTATTACAGTTATATAATGGAAGTCTGTAAATAAACACTTTTGTAACAATCCAGTGATGAAGTTCAGTTCTTAACAGCCTGAAACTGGGTTTAACGTCGTGCTTGAGAATATTTCGCTCATATGACGACGTGAATGCATGTGTGTGTGTATGTGCGGCTGCTTGTACTATCCCATACTGAAGCTGGTTTTATAGTGCTAGCTCACTGAGATACCATGCCGCAGTGAAGCATGAATACCCCACTCAGACACATTAAACTGACTCCGAGCCGACCAGTCCTTGTTGTACCCATTAATGCCGGGCACCAGGCAGGGTCCAACAAGAACCATATATTAATGTCTTTTGGTATGAAGCAGTCGGGGATCGAGCCAGCGATCTTCCGCTCTCCGGGCGGACGCTGTAACCACTACACCACGGGCTGCAACCTCTTATTTTGTCAGTAATCTATACTAACACTTAACATTTGGTCTATCAACATTATATATATAATGTTGATAGAAACAAATAATTCCTTTTAAATTGAAAAGGAGACCCAGTGAGATGGGAGATATAGACTCAAGAAACCTGAACCTGGGGAAATCTAGACTTGCTTCATTTAGGACTTTAGCATTGCAGAAAGGGCTGTGTAGAAGGGGAAACAACTTGATGCAGGGACTGTGAGACAGACTATTAGTAATCATGCTACCAGAAATTCCATGGTTCAGAATTTATATTGGTTGTATATGCAGGACTTTGACTCTGAGAAGCGGAAGGTGATATGCAAGACGCTGAGATTTGTGGCTCACTCCCAGGGGGCAACTCTGCAGGTAGGTCAGCCATATTGTCTGCCATCTTGGATTATCCAGAGATGTCAACCTTTTTCATATTTCTAACTTATCAGAGAATTTCTCATGCCTATTCTCATAATCTGGTAATATGGTTTGTTTGGGTTTGTTTTGTGTTGTTGTTTACACTCACTGAATTCCTCCACTGAGGGAGCAACCATTTGATGTATAGAGGGGAAATAAGTATGACCCACATTGTGTTGTCAGGTTTAATGTGCCTTTTCATGCAGAATACAATACATTACTGTTATTTATTTCAAAATATAAACAATAGAGCGCATATCTATGTTGTAAAAAGTAACTGAGCTGCTAAACATTTAGAACAATACTGATCTCAAAACAAATTTTACCCTAAAATTAAATGGCTGCACCCTAACAATCCAAGTGTTCCTGTGCAGTTCTTCAGCATCAAGATGGAGGGCACTATTAAACGGATGCAGGGTATCATCAATCACCACCTGTTCCGGACAAACCCAAGGCAAGCATTTCAGTCCTCCTCAATGTTATCAAACACATACATTAACCACTTGGCATAACATCTTGTAGTGGTGGAATTGGGTTTAACGTTGTGCTTGAGAATGCCGAGCGCCAGGCAGGGACCAACAAGTACCATATTTTAACGTCTTTTGGTATGACGCGGTCGGGGATCGAACCCGCGACCTTCCGCACTCCGGGCGGACGCTCTAACCACTACACCACAGAGGCGGTCCATAACAAAACACATACATTAACCACTTGGCATAACATCTTGTAGGGCGTGGGGTAGCCTAGTGGTTAAAGGGTCTCTCGTCACGCCGAAGACCCGGGTTCGATTCCCCACATGGGTATAATGTGTGAAGACCATTTCTGGTGTCCCCCGCTGTGATATTGCTGCAATATTGCTAAAAGCAACGTAAAACCACACTCACCTCATAACATTTTGCAGTAATTCTACATGTTTAGATTCCAGTGAGCCTGTGGTTGCCTCAATTTCATGACCCTACATTTAATGTAATGTTGCATGTCTCCATGAAACCAAGTCCTATCACCTACTACCTGTTTGTCCCCAAATGTCCGTCACAGTGATTACCGTCAGTGTATCTTCCCAAGGCTGGAGTGTCCATGAGCCTTATTCTAGTTTAGTTTTCACCATTGTCCTTTGAAGGTTACTTTCCTTGGCTTGATCATGAAGAGACTGGAGATAAAGTTGTGAGCTTCATAATAAACATTACCCACCTACCAACCTACCTTGTTCAGCAAGGGTAGAAACTGGTTTGTATTGTCACATTATAGTAGCAGCCATGATGCCCAGATGCTGATTTAAAGTAATTCTGTCCTTAATGAATCTGTTTTTGCACAGAAAAGTCAGCTTGGAAGGCTATGATCAGGTTTACTTTAGAATGTGTAAAGCCCTTAAATTGAGATATAGTCAGGTTTACAAAGTTGCTCACAAATCAGTTACCTCAAGGGTCATGTCAAAATCAAAACCAGGCAGCAAACACAAACTGGATAGCTTTGATAAGGGTATCATATGCCGTGCAGTTAATAAATTGTATGAACGCAAAATCCCACCGACGTGTGCCAAAATACAAGATGAGATCAAAGATACAATAAATGTCCTGTTGTAATTCCACTAGAGTCCTCCACCAGCAGTGATACTGACACTTGATATTTTGAGACGGTCCCTGACATGTACTGCCCGTGCGTTACATAACGCTGGCAGCCTGTCTGCCTACCAGGTGGGTCACAGTATAGTTTGTTTCTTAGAAGTTTTTCGATATTTTACGAGTAATCATTATGATTAGCGAATGGTACATCATGATTACTCATATGCCATATTTGGTCGATGTGGTATGAATGATCATATTATATGAGTTTTGAATCTGAAATATTAATACCATTATCAAATAATCGCCAAAACGCATTTTCTATGCATTTCTGGCCTTACTTTAGGTATTTGTATCAGCTACTGGACACTCCTTCCTCAAGAACCTGGACTGAATGCTACCAAAACTCTTGATCATGTCGTGTGCTAGACTTCTGGGCCAGTTCCAGTCTCAGCAGAAACACTGATCTGTGTAAAACTGAATATTTATGAATGAAGACTGGAAATACACTAGATTGTTACTGCAACTTCCAAAAATCCAATGATGAAACATAGTCTCTGTTTCACTGGGGACATCGTGAATGCTAGATTGATCAATTCATTAACTGACAACCAATGGCTGCTGCAATCATTTTTGTACATCTTGTATGAAAGAGCTGTTACCAGGGAAAATGGTCTAGTTTCAAGACCAGGTGATTATTTGTTTTTTGTCTTGCATGTATTGTTGTCCATCAGGTCTAATATATTTCTCTTTCTTGTGTTTCAGTAAAAACATGCAGGTTGAACATAACAAGCCCCTGTTTGTCCCAGCCGGGCTTGACTCTCTGCAGACGATAGGTAGGTAACAGTCCCTGACTAAACTTTTGAGCTTCTGTTAGTACAACACCTTTATTGTGCCAATCTATTATAAATAGGCTGTGCTGAAATGTTGATCTTCTTTCAATCAAGGGGCGGTGGGGTAGCCTAGTGGTTAAAGCGTTGGCTCATCATGCCGAAGACCCGGGTTCGGAATCCCCACATGGGTACAATGTGTGAAGCCCATTTCTGGTGTCCCCCGCTGTGATGTTGCTGGAATATTGCTAAAAGCGGCGTTAAACCGAACTCAGTCAGTCAGTCTATCTTTCAATCAAAATTAATCTCTGTTTTTTATGCATTTATTGTCTAAGAATACTAATATTATATACACAGATATTTCTACATATTTCAAAATGAATGAATGTAAAGGTAAACTATTATAGATACATAGTTCACAGAACAGGTCAAACAATGAAAAACCAATCAGTGTTCTTGAGAAATTAGTATTACCCACTTGTGACTGACGTGTTTATATGTTTATTGTGTGTTTTATGCTAAGAACAAATTGCAGTACAGAGGAGCTTTACTGGCTTGCATAATATTTGTTGGGCCGAAACATGGTGGTACAAATACCTGGCATATGAGGGCCGGTGTGGTAGCCTAGTAGTTAAAGCGTTCACATGTCATGCCGAAGATCCGGGTTCAATTCCCCACATGGGTACAATGTGTGAAGCCAATTTCTGGTGTCCCCCACCCTGATATTGCTGGAATATTGCTAAAAACAGTGTGAAACTAAAACTCACTCACTCACCTGGCATATGAAATACCAAATGTTCAGGAATGCTAATGATGAGATACCTGGTTCATACAACTGCCAAGAATAAATATTTAAACCATTTCAGCCTTTAAGAAAATGTTGTTTTGCCAAATTAAACATCCTGTGTGTCCAACAGAGGAAATGTAATTCACTTGCAGCATTAGCTTCTTTGTAGCATGACTGTTATTATTTATAGTTTCCATCCACCTTCTTCAGGCAACCCCCCAATCTCGGATGATGACATAGGACGTGTACATGCAAGGTGGGTTTCAAATGGTGGTAGTAGGACCTTTGCAGAGCTTCTGTTCTGGATGTCAAGAAGGGGGCAACAATCTTAGATTGTGCTTAACATATGAACAGTTGATCTTCTTGAGTGTTGAGTGGGTCTGTCGGGTAGGATAGTGGTGAAAGTGTTCGCTTGTCACGCTAAAGACCTTAGCTCGAGTCCCCACATAGGTGCATATGTGAAGCCCATTTCTGGTGTCCCCCACTGAAATATTGCTGGAATATTGCTAAATCTTGCTAAAACCATACTCACTCACTCAATTGTGACATCTGGAAAAGATGAATGAGCAGACAATGTACTAAGGGACATAACTCCAATTTCTTAGCAGCTGGGCTTATATTCTTCATCCATCCCAAATACATGGTTACGCCATATCAGCGTGGCAGGGGGTTTATACTGATCTGGGTTTTACACTGCTTCTGATTCGATCATCTCTTTATTGGTTCAATCACAAGAGTGATTCTTTGTATGAGGTGTACATATTTTCATATTTAATTAAGCTAAGCTGAGAATTGTTTTTCTACTTTGTCTTATTTTGTTTGTGACAGGACTCCAATGGAACTGTGGAAGCAGGCGTTTACTGGACACTTTCCTCAAGAGGTCAGTTTAATGGGAATAAGGAGCTCTCTCAGCTTTCACCCCTTCATTTCGGAAGTCCCTTGTGAAGATCTGGGTTAGAATTGGTCTTCAGCAACCCATGCTTGTTGTAGGAGGCAACTGACGGGATCGGGAGGTCAGACTCGCTGACTTGGTTGACACATGTCACCACATTCCAGTTCATGCTGTTGATCACTGGATTGTCTGGTCTAGACTCAGTTATTTACAGACCGCCGCCATATAGCTGGAATATTGCTGAGTGAGACATTAAACAACAAACCAACCAACCAGCCAGCAAACCAACCAACCAACCAACCATTTCAGGGATTGATTGTTTGGTGTGCATTGCTTCACTCCAGCAACATTCAAGCTATCTGCCAGCTGTCTGTAAATAACTGAGCCTGGACCACACAACCCAGTGATTGACATCATCAGCATCCTAACCATTTGATCCAACTCGTCACCACTTATGACAAATTCTAACCTAGTTTGTCAAGGGCTTGTTTTGGATGAACTAGTCACATTATCAGGCATGGTTTTTCTGAACCTGTGTCTAAGACTTTGTTTAATACAATGTTAGAAAAATTAAATAGGTTTACCTCGATCTTAATGTCTGTTGGAGTGATGGGTAGCCAAGTGGTTAAAGTGTTCGCTCATCTTCCCGAATCCGGGTTTGATTTCCAATATGAGTACAATGTGTGAAGCCCATTTCTGGTTGTCCCCTGCCATGATATTGCTGGAATATTGCTAAAAGCAGCATTAAATTAAACTCACTCACTCACTCACTCACTCTTAATGTCTGTTTATCCTATGAAATGATAGAAGACAAAATTTTATGGCTAATGCCTTCTTTAGAGTTTATACCAGTGTCTCATGGCTACTTCTTGCCTCTTCCTCCGGTGAAGGTGTGAGTTGATGTATGTACAGGCTTGTGGAACTGTTATACATGTATCTTGATTGGAAGAGGAACCTTTCAGGAATTTAGACTTTGTATTACACCATTTGAATAGTTAGCCTGGTGGTTTGGTATCTATCAAGAGTTTGAGCTAATGTTACACATTTTTATTACATGACTTAGTTATAATTGAGACACTGTTGAAAATTGGAGTAAATGCTGTGTGCTTTGTGTTACTGCTGCCAGGTGAATGTAAACGAGGTAAGTGATTCCTGATCTTCAATCCAATACAGGTGATATTTTTTTGTTAGCCACTTTACCACATGGTTCCCTCCCTTTGAGTTGGCACAGCATATTGTGAAACTTAACAAAGAAATCTGTCAAGTTGAAAATATTCAGACCAAGGTCTTTCAAGCTTTGTTTCATTTTGTCTACACATGTCTAGGCACTGCAGGGGTGGTTGGGTAGCCCTAGGGTTAAAGCGTTCGCTCGTCACGCCGAAGGCCCGGGTTCGATTCCCCACATGGGTACAATGCGTGAAGCCCATTTCTGGTGTCCCCTGCCATGATATTGCTGGAATATTGCTAAAAGCGGCGTAAAACTATATTCACTCACTCACTCACTCCAGGCACTGCATGGTGCCCAAGTTTTTCCAAAGGTCACAGAGTTCTCCTTTACTGACTCCCAGCAAAACTATTTTCTAATCTGACTCAGATGTTAGTTGTTATCTCTATGACATCATGTAAGGGCCACGACAAAACTTCTATGTGATCCTAGGAACTTCATGAACTTATTGTCAACCATCACATTTTCTTATAAGAGCCTGGATTGGGTAGATATTTAGCCAAAGCGGTAAGGGGATGGTCCTAAGGTATGTTGCCCGAGTTATACACCACTCGGTCTCACTCACCTATTCTGATGTTAGTGTGTCAGTCTACCAGTTAATGATTATTCTAATCACAAAGAGACACTGTCTTACTTCTAGAAAGGGACTAATCAGGGGTGGATACAGCTTTTTGAGAAAGGGGGGTACACACTATTGAGAAGGGGGGGTGCACACTTCATTTACACGAGCATTTCAATGGTCATTTAATACAATTTCAGGACAAAAGGGGGGTGCTCTCCCCTGCACCCCCCTCTGGATCCGTGTATGTGTCTCAAAGCACAGAAAATAAGCACCAGATATAGAAACTAGCCTCCTTGTTGAAGCACCATGTTGTAAATTGTAGGATATGTACAGATCTCATTACACCGTCTCAACTACTGTCATGAAACAACCTTCAGTGTCTCAGTTGAGAATGAAACTGGGCATCATACTGTGGTAGATAGTCGTCCTTTCACTGCTTACGTACATGTAATGTCTGCTGTGTTTGACAGAACACAAACAACCCTGCCATTGTAGAAGACCCGGCCAAGGATCCACAGTTTGTGGAAGCAGCCATTGACACCCTTCGAGCTCAGAAAGATGAAGTGAGTTGCCACACTATTGAAGTCATTTTTGTATTGCCACTAACCACAATAAATCTGCATGGGATATGCAATATTTCGACCAAGAACACTTTTTCTTTGACCAATCTGACCGCCTCCGTGGTGTAGTGGTTAGAGCATCCGCCCGGAGAGCGGAATGTCGCGGGTTCGATCCCCGACAGCGTCATACCAAAAGACGTTAAAATATGGTACTTGGTGGTCCCTGCCTGGCGCTCGGCATTAATGGGTACAACAAGGACTGGTCGGCTCAGAGTCAGTATAATGTGTCTGAGTGGGGTATTCATGCTTCACTGCGGCATGGTATCTCAGTGGGCTAGCACTATAAAACCAGCATCAGTCGCATGCACGTCGTCATATGAGCGAAATATTCTCAAGCACGAGGTTAAACCCAATTTCACCTCACCTCACCTTTGACCAATCTACCAAAACAAGCTGGTAATGGAGACCTGGCAGTAGTTAAAGATCTTACACTTATGCTTCAACAACAGTGTTGCATGAGCTACAGTTGCTAAATAATTGACATACAGTTGAATTTTGTGATACCCAGTGCTTATTCACTTATTTGTTATTGGAGCCTGTCTTTTAACACGTTGACTGCCACCACGAGTATACTCGTAGTATCAATTCTGGCAGAATTTACCACTACAAGTTATCTCGTAGCTACACCAGTGGTGTTTTAAAACAAGTTTCACATGCTGGCAAAATAGGCACAAGAAGCAATCATCTCTTGGCGGTAACAAAGAGCGCCAGGATACGTTTGTTTCTTGTGCCTATTCAGGATCTTTCACTAACATTTCCTCGTACAAAATTGTAGTTATTTGTTCTATACAATGTGTCAAACTTACTGTTCCTCGAAGGGAAAGCTTGTTCCCTGTGTATTCTTTTTTACTCATCATTTCGAGGTTGTGTGGAACTTTGGATATCTCAAAGTATTTATGGCGGTCCTATTTACTTCAACAAAACTATTTTTGACTGTTTATGATTTACCCAGTTTGTTTTCATTCACTAAATATTACATTAAAATATGTATGTGTACCCTTTGTGATTTTTCATGGATATTGATAAAATGTCATGACATATCTCTAGGAACTGGAGCCCTTCAGATTTTTCATATGATAAAATGTATGACATATCTCTAGGAACTGGAGCGATATCGACGTCTGGCGGAACGCAGATCAAGGGAGACAACCACATATTAGTTGTAAGTATCCAACGGGAAAGCTTTGCTTCTCCATGCGAGAATAACCATCAACAATTGGGGTAAATGTTATTTTATATGTACATGTATATGTATATGTAAAAGCAGCTTCATGGTACAAAATTGAATACAAAAGAAATCTCAAGGTTGTAATGTACAATATCATATACAGTGCAATATACAAAACAATGCACAAAAACTGTGCAATATGTTATACAATAAACAATCAACTGTGTAATATGATATACAATAAACAAGTAACTGAGCAATACAATAAACAATCAACTGAGAAATACAATATGCAATAAACAATTATCTTATCAATACAATATACAATCAACTGAGCAATACAATAAACAATCAACTGAGCATCAACTGAGCAATACAATAAACAATCAACTGAGCAATACAATAATCAACTGACAACTGAGCAATACAATAAACAATCAACTCACAATACAATAAACAATCAACTCAACATATGCCATATACTCAACTGAGCAATACCTTCATCAGTAGGATTTCAACTGAGCTAGACACCTGTATGTGGTATGACCCATGAGTCAACATATGCCATCTAGTCAGACACCTGTATGTACTAGTAGCATAGTCAGGTCAGTCACGAGGCCTCTTTTCACACACCGTCAGAAAGCATTTCTTTTCCTACCAAATACCATGTCCTTATTTAAACTCATTTATTGTTCTGTTCGGTCGGTGGGGTAGCCTTATGGTTAACGTGTAAGCTCATCACGCTGAAGACCAAGATTTGATTCCCAACATGGGTACAATGTGTGAAGCCCATTTCTGGTGTCTCCCGCCGTGATATTGCTGGAATATTGCTAAAGGTGGCGTAAAACTGAACTCACTCACTATGATTCTGGAATGATACCTAACCTTGATATATGATTCTCCATATCTCAGATTATGAACTGGTATCAGTGTGCATATCACGTTTTTATTTATTTCTTCCACAGGATATTCCAGTGATTCTCCGTCCAGTAGATTCAGACAACTGTGATAATCCATGTGCCTCGTCCCTCCAGGTCACAAACTCGTAGCCAGAGGGGGCAAAACAAAACTCTCTACGACTCTTATTTATGAAATCTTAATGTAAATTAGACCAGGGTTTTCACATGGAATGGGTGCTCATAAACTTAGGGATAAATGTTATTAATTTTCAGTCTTTGGAAGGAAAATGTCAGCCCTGAAATGTTGGCAGTTCCTGGTATCAGCATTCTGCCCTATGGCATCAGGGTTCAGCATCCAAATGCTGGTCACTAGCTTCTTATCACCCATCACAGAGATGTGCATCTGTACATAGTGTGTTCACCGCCTCCATCTTACTGGGAAATACACGTCATAATACATCTCTTAAAGAAGGTCAAGGTTAATGATAAAATAAACTCTCATTATAATTTGAAGATTTTTCCAAACCTGAAGAGTTTTAATACTGAGCTAATTAGGCAATTAGAATCAATATAATAGGAAAACATGAATATTATTATAAAGCTGTCTTGTTATTGGGATCAGAAAGATTTCATTTTTTTATTGATGATGAATGAACTTTGCTTCATTTATTGAATTACATAAAGTCGTCTCCATCAATGTTTATCATTGCTTGTTTGTTGTGTGTCAGATATCATTGGAAAAATAAAACAATTTGAAATTATAAACATTTGTGATTGTAAGGAATGTGATAAATGTACACGTGGTTTGCTTTGTTTGTGCAGATGTAATTGGATGATGGACGACATGGCTTTTGTTGAAACTTGTTTTTCCTTTTAGAATATGTGGTGGGGTAGCCTTATGGTTAAAGCGTCCACTCATCACGCGGAAGACCCAATTTGATTTCCCACATAGGTACAATGTGTGAAGCCCTTTTATGGTGTTGCCCGCCGTGATATTGCTGGATTATTGCTAAATGGGCATAAGACCATACTCACTCACTTGTGACATCTACAAAAGACAAATGAGCAGACAATATACTAAGGGAGGTAACTCCAAGTTCTTACCAGCTGGGCGGATATCCGTCATCCATTTAAAATACATGGTGAAAAATCCTAGTGAAGCTTCTGTACAAATATAGGATCGTGCTGTGGTATTCTACAATTCTACTGGGGACCAACTGTACACCCAAGTAACAACAAGTGTTTGCCACTGATATGGCAATGTCCCCCTGCCGCTAAGGAATGGAATATCTATATTTACTACTTTTTATTTTTGGGTCACATACAAGATGCCTGAAATGACTGGTGTCTGCATAATCACCCAATGTAGGCTGTCGACATACTTGAAAACATTGGGTGCAATGTTTTATGAGATATCGCCTTTAAAAAGCGTGCAAAGTGTCATGGTGACCTTGAAGATAAGGTCAAGGTCACCAAAATAAACTGGTGTCTGCGTAATTCCCCAATGTAGGCTGTCGCCAAATTTAAAGACACTGGGTACAACAATGCATGAGATATCACGTTAACAAGAGTTTGAAAAGTGGTCAGTGTCGTGGTGACCTTGAAAATAAGGTCAAGGTCACCCAAATCGACTGGTGTCTGCGTAATCCCCTAATGTAGGCTGTCACCAAATTTCACGACATTGGGTACAACAGTCCATGAGATATCACGCTAACAAGAGTTTGAAAAGTGGTCAAAGCGTCGTTGTGACCTTGAAATTAAGGTCAAGGTCACCCAAAATCAACTGGTGTGTGCGTAATCCCCCAATGTATGCTGTCACCAAATTTGAAGACATTGGGTACAACAGTCCATGAAATATCGTGTAAACAAAGAGTTAAAAGCGTGCAAAGTGTCATGGTGACCTTGAAGATAAGGTCAAGGTCACCAAAATAAACTGGTGTCTGCGTAATCCCCGAATGTAGGCTGTCGCCAAATTTAAAGACACTGGGTACAACAGTTCATGAGATATCACGCTAACAAGAGTTTGAAAAGTGGTCAGTGTCGTGGTGACCTTGAAAATAAGGTCAAGGTCACCCAAATCGACTGGTGTCTGCGTAATCTCCTAATGTAGGCTGTCACCAAATTTGAAGACATTGGGTACAACAGTTCATGATATATCGCGTTAACAAGAATCGGGACCTACGGACGGACGGACGCCGCTGAATACATAGTCCCCCGTTCCGCGTTGCGGCGGGGGAGAACAAGGCTGTTTGTATGTGACTGCTGTGGTATATCTGTCTATAGACTACTACAAACGGTGAAGAATGGAGCCAACAAAAGGAACCAAGACAGCATCTTGAACAATCTTAGCAACTTTTGGGTGCAAGAAAGTGATAATGCACACTTTCACTTAAATACCAAAAACTGCGTTTTGGATTACCACATTTGCAACAACAGACCGTGATTGTAATACAAAGAATGTAACCGGTTTGTTTAAAATGTTTACTGATGAAATCACGAGAGCCAGCTGTCACGTGTCAACTACCTGTATTATATACTGAGAGAAACGAAAAGGATCATTCCTTATTATTTTCCAGTTTTCATCACCACAGCGTTATTCAAAGCTGGTGATGATAACTAGAAAATAATACCTCAGGTTACATATACAGATACAGACACTAGTTTTCATTGCATTTATCTCTTCTAAAGATAAAGAAAGAACACACGGATCTGACTCCAAGATCAAACATGAACACATTCATTGGACTCCAACATCAACCATGGATACATTCATTGGACTCCAATACCAAACATGGACACATTCATTGGACTCGAAGGTCAAACATGGACACATTCTTTGGATTCCAGGATCAGCCATAGATACATTCATTGGACTCCAACATCAACCATGGATACATTCATTGGACACTGGACACATTCATTGGACTCCAACATCAACCATGGATACATTCATTGGACTCCAAGGTCAAACATGGACACATTCATTGGACCCCAGGATCAACCAAGGATACATTCATTGGACTCCAATACCAAACATGGACACATTCATTGGACTCCAATACCAAACATGGACACATTCATTGGACTCCAAGGTCAACGAAATCAGGTTTAAATTTGTATATGGAGCAATGTTTATACGAGCATCACGACTGCTGTCATAAATGTGTTGTAGTGTGATAGTAACGTGAACAAGAGAAACAACTGAATCTAGTTCTAGATGGACCAGATGGACCAGTGTCACATGTTCGGACAACACAACCATTGTTTACAGGTCAGTGTTTTGATAAGGACAAAGTAGTTCGCACACATTCAACGTTCCTGACGTTGCACGCAGGATTGCTGGAATGTTCACTAAAACGGCCTAAAACTAAACTCACTCATTCATTGAACATAGGATTTACGGTTCTTTTCCAACCAATCACGTGTCATTGTGACAAAACGTAATTGACTATTTAGATGTGTTGTGTAATTCAATCCTAGACCGTGTCACTTACTAAACATATACCCACTTTCATATCTGCCTGCGATTGATTATAACTGGCAGACTACTTATTGCATGTGATATGAATCACGATATCAATCTGTACCGCTCACCGCCATCCCTCGCTGATAACACCGACAATTAGTCAGGGCTAAGTTCAGACAGGTAGGCTTCCCTATACATTAAGGACGGGTCAAATCACAAAGGTAAATACATATTCAGCATGTTGTATATGATGACAATATTATTGTATGGATGTAAATATTCAGGTTTCTTCTTCAGAATGATATTGATATTATCAAGTGAGCGTATATTTGTTCTATTGGCCCTGGAAATAGGATCTGTATTGACTGTATCATCAGTGAAGCCTCTCTCCATCACTGACACTGTTATCATGTATATCAACCTTGTGTCGATATATCAGATCTTCTAATATTCTAAATATCACTACTGGATGTTTTATTCCAGATTCTCTCCAACATTGACTTTGTTATCATGTATATCCACCTTGTGTCGATATATCTTATTATCTAATCTTATATTCAAAATTTCATTAATTGATGTTTTATTCGAGATTCTCTCCAACACTGACTTTGTTACCATGTATATCCACCTTGTGTCGACATATATTATCTAATCTTATATTCAAAATTTCTTTAATTGATGTTTTATTCGAGATTCTCTCCAACACTGACTTTGTTACCATGTACATCCACCTTGTGTCCACCTATCAGATCTTCTAATATTCTAAATATCATTACTCGATGTTATAATCAACTACCACACATTGATTCCCTTGCGGAAGAGGTAGCTTACATCACATGCTTTATATCTTATTATAGTGAGGGGGCGGTGGAGTAGCCTAATGGTTAAAGCGTTGGCTCGTCACGCCGAAGACCCGGGTTCGAATCCCCACATGGGTACAATGTGTGAAGCCCATTTCTGGTGTCCCCCGCCGTGATGTTGCTGGAATATTGCTAAAAGCGGCGTAAAAACCAAACTCAGTCAGTCAGTCAGTATTATAGTGAGGATCTGATGGTAGCAATTTATAGTGCGTCCCCGTTATAAGAAAGCGATATCCGGTGGGAACTCCGGGTTTAAAAAGGGGTCCGGGTAAACTAGGGGCCAAGGAACCCATGCTAAGAGGCGAACGATGGATCAGGGATCAGGCTCGATGACTGTTGATTACATGTATTCGTACCTGACGGCGTGATTTGTTGTGTTTGTCTGTTGTTGCTTAACACCACATTGAGGCAATATTCCAGCTATATGGCGGCGGTCTGCAAACAATCGAAACTGGACCAGACAATCCAGTGATCAACAGCATGAGCATCGATCTATGCAATTGGGATACAATGACATGTGTCAACCAAATCAGCGAGTCTGACTACCCGACCCGTTAGTCTCCTTTACGACAAACATGGGTTGCTGAAGACTAATTCTAACCCGGATCTTCACGGGTCGACGGCGTGGATCGTTGCTAACGATATCAATCACTGGTTTGGTCTCGACTCGCTTATTTACTGGCCGTCGTCATACAGCTGCAATATTGCTTAAACAACAATCATACAAAACAAAACTATATGTATAGATACGACGACAATCAGAGGTTGTGGTTATGATTTGGAGTTTGGACAGTCGTGGCGTTTCGACCGATGTGTAGTACGTAGTCCTTTCCGAAACAAATAAGCCCTTCTTGCAACTGACAAAGGCTGTCGCCGATCTGGCACACCGACGGTCCGGATAGATCCTGCGTTTCCCATGCTTATACCAGAGCTGACTAATATTATATTTGTTGTGGGGGCGGTGGGGTAGCCTAGTGGTTAAAGCGTTCGCTCGTCACGCCGAAGGCCCGGGTTCGATTCCCCACATGGGCACAATGTGTGAAGCCCATTTCTGGTGTCCCCCGCCGTGATATTGCTGGAATATTGCTAAAAGCGGCGTAAAACCCAATTCACTCACTCACTATATTTGTTGTGTGTGTAGCCTGGCTGATGTTATGCGTTATGTGATGGTTTCACATTGAATTATCGGTTCTCTCTGTGTCATGACTGACTGCATATCAGACTTCTCACTCGCCTACCAAGGGATCCACTGACCCGTGGCATAGAATAGTCAACTTTCATTGAGAAATTATCCTTAAACATTAAAAACTATTTCCATTGGTTACCCGTTACCATCCTAGTTAGAACTGTTAAACACCAAACAAACAAAATAAACAAATTTTCCATGGGCGTAGTTATCCCAGACCACCGCTTATAGCACGAATTTGATATATAATGGGAGAAGTACATTGCATGATCCATGGTCTCGACATAGTACGCGTGGCTAAGACCTAAGATCTGGTGGAGATATCGACTTGAAAATATGTGGTTGCTGTGTCCTTGTAGATGATTTAATGAGTGCCTTTAAAATAATTAAAGGCATCTTCACTTTACACCATACACGTGCATATGCAACAATTCCCGTATTGGCCCATATTTAAAATGTACAGCGAGTGATGTTCTAGGAAATGCTAAAAATATAATTAGTAATAGGACGGTATCCTTGATACGTATACATACACATATGAGCATATCTGTACAAGTTATCACACAGATAACACTATCTGTATACATTGTATTGTACAGTACGCCTGGCATACCAAAGTAACTGTAAAAAATGTTCAAAACATTAAATGAAATCCAATTTAGAATTTTGACATGAATGAAGGCGTGTTGTTGTTTTGATAGAAATTAGCGTATCATGCACCTTTCCAGTTTAGAGACTGGTCCTTCTTATAAAGAGTTAGGGATTATGTAGTCAAATATGCTATATATCGCTATCACAGCGAGACGATGTGGATCTCACTATCTGAATACACCACGTGAATGTGCAATGTGTATCCATACCCGTCAGGCAAAGTACAGGATTTCCAGAGGTCATGGGGGCGGTGGGGTAGCCCAGTGGTTAAAGTGTTCGAGGGTTCTATTCCCCACATGAGTACAAAGTGTGAAGCCCTTTTCTGGTGTCCTCCGCCGTGATATTTCTGGATGATTGCTAAAAGCGTCGTAAAACTCACTCACTCACTCCAGAGGTCATGGTCCATTGGCAAGAGATCCATGATGAGCTAAGTTGAATTTGACACATGAGGAGAAATCTATGCAAAACAATTCACTGCGTATACTAGGTATCACGTTAAAGAGACTAGATACAGCAATTCATATGGCTAGTTTTCTGTAGCGTCTAAACCCTTATCAAATTGTGTGTTTTTTAATTTTTTATTTTTCATTTATTTTTTTATTTGTTTTTTTTAGAGTAAGGCTCTTAATCGCCATCACCCAAAGTCTTACCCACTCAGCCACTGAGATCTTGAGGTAATAGAATAGTTGTAGCGTAGATCACGTACTTGGGCGCAAACATGTACTCTGGTCCATGTCGCCCTTAAACTCTACCACCGCCACAGTGTACTTTGTGTTCCCTGACCGGTAATAACTGGAATGGTTCCCACTTTACGGGCACAGTTTAATCCCAAGTATAACGTGTGTTACATGGGACCACTTTCTGAAAGGATGGTGGATTCTAATCTATGTTTACCAAACTATCAATCGTGAAGCACTGATGCTTAACCCCTAGTGTCATTACTGCAGTATGTTTTCATACGATTTCAGGTTAGTGAACATTTTAATGTTACCAAATATTTGTTGTTTATAATTATTAATATTTATGAATTTAAGTGCAAAACCATTGTCATTTTGTAATTTGGTATTAATAAATAGATTAAAAAAGAGCCTTATTCTGGTAGCGTAGGTACGAATTTCGGATGGGACTCAACCCGGCATCTACTGGACCATCTAAGGATGACGTAGAGACTCACCATGTTATCTCAGCATGTTTGCGTCAATTTGTTGCAATTATCCAGAATGAAAATTAGAACCAATTGGCATGGTTAATTAATGCAGAAGTTGATAGTTAAAATATATCTTGATTTCAGTACAAGCAAGTCTTTGACTTCAGCAAATCTGGGGGTCGTGGAATAGCCTTATGGTTAAAGCGTTTGCTCGTCACACTGAAGACCCGATTTTGATTCCCCACATGGGTACAATGTATGAAGCCTTTCATGGTGTCGCCCGCCGTGATATTGCTGGATGATTGCTAAGAGCGTCGTAAAACTCACTCACTGACTCAGCAACTCTGGTTTTCCGTTAGATACGTCTGACGGGCGGACAGAGTCGCCGGCTTAGTAGATGCATGTCCCCGTGGTAGATCGATGCTAGAATGATGAAAGTCAGTGGATTGTGTGGTCCACACTCGAGCAGTTACCGATCGCCATCACATAGTTGGAATTAGTGAGTGAGTATGGTTTTACGCTGCTTTTAGCAATATTCCAACAGTATCAGCATGGGTGCACCAGAAATGGGTTTTACACATTGTACCCATGTGAAGAATCGAACGCGGGTTTTCGGCGGGACGAGCGAACGCTTTAACCACTGGGCTACCCTACCGCCACAAGCCGCAAAGGAACACTGGTTCAACATCCCTATATGTTATTGATTTAATTCGGCTTTCGTTGCAGTAACCAGCAGTGATGACATTCAACAAATTGTATTTCCACGTCGGGTTATTTCTCTTCACAATTGTGTCTTTCTGCCACACAAGACAATGTTCCTTAAAGAAACATCCTTGCATAAGTGAATTCAAACTCTGGACTCTGGATGAAAATCGTCAAGGTTTTGTAGAAATATCTCTTCCCGCGCAGCCTCTTTCAAAATCTCAGTACAGTGTAAAGTTGATGTCGAAGACTTCTATGTACGCTGTACAACTGTTTGAAGACCCTTACCGGAACCGGAAGTACGCCATGTGTAACATTGCACTAGGGGAGGATGTGGATGACAACCAACCGTGGGCCATTGTGCTCTTGGGAGGAGGAACTGTCATTGATGGCGTAATCTATACATATAACTATTCAGATTCTCGGGCCCAGGCACTCTCCGAAGACACTGGCCTGGATGATAATGTTTTGGTTGATAACAAGAGTCTCTCGCTCAGTCGGTGTGGTTCATCATATGTCCAGTCATTTCCCACGATGGGGGAGGACAATGACTGCCCCACTTACATTGATGTATTTACGGTAGATGACAGCGATGATGAAATGGAAGATGAACCGGATGCCGCTGCCAGTCCTCCGAGGCGGAAGTCCCCTGTTTCACAATTTACCGGAATTACAAACAATAAAAAAACCACATCAAGAATGCCTGAAAAAACCACGAAACTAACACGTGCAACCGACAAACACCATGGAGCAAGTTCCAAATCGCCGTCATCGACAAAACCTTCGAGTACACCTACGAAGACTACCGGTGTGGTTACGCACAGATCACAACAAACATCAACACGTCAACATACCTCAGCGTTAACGCAACCAACGTCACCAAGGAGTTTAGCTTCTACAAAACAACCAACCGCGCCGCCTTCACCATCGTCAACGAAGCCAACGTCACCACGAACTTCAGCTTCTACAAAACATCAACCAACCTCAACGTCTTCATCATCGTCAACGAAGCCAACATCACCACTAACTTCAGCTTCTACAAAACATGAACCAACCTCAACGTCTCCATCATCGTCAACGAAGCCAACATCACCACGTAGTTCAGCTTCTACTAAACATCAACCAACCTCAAAGTCTTCATCAGCGTCAACGAAGCCAACGTCACCACGAACTTCAGCTTCTACTAAACATCAACCAACCTCAAAGTCTTCATCAGCGTCAACGAAACCAACATCACCACGAAGTTCAGTTTCCACAAAACACCAACCAACCTCAACGTCTTCATCATCGTCAACGAAGCCAACACCACCACGAAGTTCAGCTTCTACTAAACACCAACCAACCTCAACGTCTTCATCATCGTCAACGAAGCCAACACCACCACGACGTTCAGCTTCTACAAAACACCAACCAACCTCAACGTCTTCATCATCGTCAACGAAGCCAACATCACCACGAAGTTCAGCTTCTACAAAACAACCAACGTCTTCATCATCACATTCCCCAAATGCTACTGAACACGGATCTACAGAAACATCCAGAACTGAAGTGTCATCCAGTTCCTCGGGCTCTACCAGCAGTGTGTCTATGACTGCATCATCGCCGACAACGTCCTCCTCACCTGTTGCACCATTCCTCAAAAACCCCGTTATCAACGAGGTCAGCATTCTTGTTCGGAATGATGTCAACAACTCTTTTATAGAACTAAGAGGTAACACAACGTAATCTGTTTTATTCTTTTTCGTTATTACATATATGTCCCCCTAGTGATCCAGGGTTGGAATTGGTCCCAACAAACCATGCCTGTCATAGGGAATGGTGTGTGTGTGCGTGCGTGCGTGCGTGCGTGCGTGCGTGCGTGCGTGCGTGCGTGCGTGCGTGCGTGTGTGTGTGTGTGTGTGTGTGTGTGTGTGTGTGTGTTCAGATTGGTTTGATTGTGTGGCATTGTCTCCAATTGCGTTGGGCGTTTCTTACAATATATCACCGGTTTCTCCGGCCAAGACTTGATTATTTGCGAATAGTAATGTTGTTGGTGTTAAACAACAAACAGTTTCTATACTCTCTGTCAATAAAAGCCTGTATGACACGACAGTCTGTAGTTGATAAGCCCGGAGAAAACAGTGACTAGCATGAGCACACGTTTCGATCGCTGCCTACCCTAAACACTGGATCCCTTTTGCTTTTGCTTGAGAGTCATTCGATATGGCAGCATATAATATATTTTGGTGTAATTATTATCATTATTAAAATCTGGTTATGTGTGTATGTATGTATGTGTGTGTGTATGTATGTGTGCATGTGTGCGTGCGCGCGCGTGCGTGCGCACGGACGTACGTACGTATGGATGGATGGATGGATGGATGGACGGACGGATGGATGGATGGATGGGTGGATGGATGGACGGACGAACGAAATGTCAGTCGATGTCGTCGAGACGACCATTGATCATGATTCTGATTCCTGCAGGACCAAACATGACCCTGGTCAACTTTTCTCTGGTGGTGTTTGACGGAAAATCGACGGAGACTCTCTTCCACAAACGATTTGGCAAGCACGAAGTTATCAATGGGAGCGGTATCGTTGTAGTGCATTACGCCTTGGTAATTTGAATACTGATTACATTCGTCAACATGAACGTTATAGCTGCCATATAAACGTCTACGCTGTATTGTGTATCTGTTGTTATAATGAGGGGCGGTGGGATAGCCTAGTGGTTAAAGCGTTCGCTCGTCGCACCGAAGGCCTGGGTTCGATTCCCCACAAGGGTATAATGTGTGAAGCCACTTCATTGTGTCCCTCGCCGTGATATTGCTGGAATAATACTAAAGGTGGCGTATTATCGTCTCGTATTATCGCTTTCTCAAGATCTGGGTTAGAATTGGTCTTCAGCAACCTATGCTTGTCATAAGAGGCGACTAGTGGGATCGGGTGGTCAGGCTCGCTGACTTGGTTGACACATGTCATCGTATCCCGATTGCATACATCGATGCTCGTGCTGTTGATCACAGGATTGTCTGGTCCATACTCGATTATCTACAGACCGCTACCATATAGCTGGAATATTGCTGATTGCGGCGTTAAACAACAACCGACCAACTATTGCTTTCTCGTCTTTGCTATGGTTTTTTCGCCGTATCAATTTCAATCGATTTATCCTTTTGTCGCGATAAAGTGATGTCTCCGCTCGGCCACCATACTAAAAGTGTATGCTTCAGTGGGGTGCTTAAACATCATCAGTCGTTCTGCTTCTTCATCCAGAAACACAACCACACAGCCAATGATTCGTCTGTGGCAGTTGCATTGTATGACAACTCCAAATGGCTCCAGCACTACACCGACCACATACCAATCAACCAGATACGCGGACTATTGGATTCCTTCATAGTGCGTACTACCGAGGAAGATATCCACACCGACATCTTGGAGAACCTAGTACCCAAGTCGACCAAGAGAATCTTTACTGTCAACCCAAGGTAATTACCCCGTCATTTTAAATACTGCTTGTTTTCACGTCCATGGTTATTCACCTCAAATGGGGGAGATGGGGTAGCCTAGTGGGTAAAGTGTTCGCTCGTCACGCCGAAAACCCGGGTTCGATTCCCACATGGGTACAATGTATGAAGCTATTTTCTGGTGTCCCCCGCCGTGATATTGCTGGAATATTGCTAAAAGCGGTGCAAAACTAAACTCACTCACTACAGCCTGAGCGGAGCGAAAAATAATGTGGATCAGGAACCCAGTAGAGGTAATGACTCTACTTCTTAGCGCAACTTGGGTTGCATATATTTGAGGAGCTGAGACCGTGTCATAATTGCGTTTCGCCTTGAGCATTGGTATTAATATAACTAAATCAAAGAAGGTTCGTGTGATCCTGGTAGTCAGGCTGGTTAGACTCCGAACCCTTGACCCCTTCACAGCGGATGGGACTTCTCTCGGGAAGTGCTGCCTTGTCGAAGCCACCGGGATCTTCTCAGAGAAAATGTAGTCTCAGGATGAGGACAGTTTTTTATGGATACACAACTTCTTTATTCTGTATAGGAGACTGTTTTTAAATAGACAGCGTGCCGGATTGTACAGATGACACGGTTACCTCCGACTAGAAGTGAACAAGTTTTGTCAGTCTCATATACATTGTTGTATCACAATAAAACATGTCAACTCACTCAGATTAAAATGTCTTTGTGGGCAACCATGTCGTTTCAACGCAAGGTTAATTGGTGACAATACACATCCAGCGAAAAATGATAATGATGATAATTGCACTAGCCACGGACGGGACTGAGATGTTATGCCGGTGTTGACAACTTGCCGGATTGGACAACTGCCGGTTTTGACAGCTTCCACTGTATATCACTTGCTTGACAACGACATTACAATCTATGTCGAAACGTAGCCTATACAGAATAGTTGTATATCCATAAAAAAATTGTCCTCATCCTTCATCTCCTCAATTTCAAGAATGCCAACCAAAGAAAATGTCGACTCCCCAACAGTAGCGTTATGCATCACCCGACCCGTGAAGGTCCGGGTTAGAATTGGCCTTCAGTAACCCATGATTGTCGTAAGAGGCGACTAACGGGATTGGGTGGTCAGGCTCGCTGACTTGGTTGACACATGTCACCGGTTCCCAATTGCGTAGATCGATGCTCATGCTGTTGATCACTGGATTGTCTGGTCCAGACTCGATTATTTACAGACCGCCTCCATATAGCTGGAATATTGCTGAGTGCGGCGTAAAACTAAACTCACTCACTCTGCATCACCCAGATTGTCAGAAGTGCCATGTTCCTGGCAGCAAACACGGGTATACTCTCCCATTCCCTCCCAATGCCAGTTATCAGATCAGGAGGTACACAACCTCAGGCACCAGGACCAAGAGACAATTTGTTCCTAGGGATGCAAGAGTCACATTTCGTAAGCGATGTCCGCATATCTGCGACGTTTCTGAACAATGTTTTTCATCCCATTTTTGACAAAAGGGGCTCAGAATTCAGTGATATAAATATTAATTGGACATTCAAGGTTATCCATGTAAAGGGGGCAAATAGAGTTATTGGTATAATTATACTACTCTAACAACAACAACAAAAACAACGTCAACTACTACTACTACTACTACGGGATCCTACTAGTAGTAGTAGTAGGAGTAGTGAGTGAGTGAGTTGGATTTTACGCCGCTTTTAGCAATATTCCCGCAATATCACGGCGAGGGAACACCAGAAATGGGCTTCGCACATTGTACCCATGTGGGGAATCGAACCCGGGCCTTCGGCGTGACGAGCGAACGCTTTAACCACTAGGCTACCCCTACCGCCCCAGTAGTAGTAGTAGTAGTAGTAGTAGTAGTAGTAGTAGTAGTAGTAGTAGTAGTAGTAGTAGTAGTAGTAGTAGTAGTAGTAGAAGTAGTAGTAGTAGGGGCGGTGTGGTGACGCCGAAGGCTTGGATTCGATACCCCACATGTGTATGTGCAGTGTGTTAAGCCCACTTCTGGTGTCCTAATATTGATAAAGCGGCGTAAAACCCAGCTCACTCATTACTACTACTAAAACTACTACCACTAATACTACTTATACTAATACTACTATTCCGTTGACAGTTTGATTAGTGGAAGATCGAACGTGAGCATCAGCAGGTGCGGGAATGACACCAAAGATCCAGGATCCTTCATCTTAGCGCCCTCTACCATCGGTCTATCAAACAACTGTACAACGGGTTACGGCAACAGGGTCCAGTTTAAACTCTCGAACGCCAACTGCGAGGACTTCCGGTCAAACAAAGCACTACAGCAAAGCCTGATTGACGTCATCGTGAACAGCGTCAACGACAAGTGCAAATGTGGATTGTCGCAGGTGCTTGTGAAAGGTATCAACAGCTATTCCCTATCTTCATGCATAAAAATATATAGTAATAGTAATAGCCTTAGAGTTGTCCCAGGAATAGAGACTCCAGCAATTCTATAATATACTTGTATACTACTGTACTTGGAGCCACCCAGCCTTAAACAACAAATACGTTTGCTACCTGACATCTTGACCTTTACGAAAACTACCGGCAGAGCAGAACACGCTCATTTCATCCGCGAACACCTTGTGTGATCACCTATCCTAATAGAGCCTAGGTTCTTGAGTTTGTCCTTTCCATTATAAAAACATATTAAAATCATGGGCCCTTAAGCACCCACGATTTTAATTGGGTTACTCTCAGAAGTCTAGTTTAGTCGGGAATGATTGTTTTAAACACATGCTTTACACGTCAGAAAAACAATTGATCAGGGAATTAACTGTCTTTTAATATATCCTTTAGGACGGGTTTAAATAGAAATTTCCCTCAAAAGTGCACACTTCGAAATTTCATTCCATTGTCTAATAAAGTAGTCATGTTAGTTCGATCATTCACATTTGGCAATGTCACGGCTTCGCCTTGAAGTTCTGCAGATGGGTTAGAACTGGTTGACAGCCACCCACAATTTGATAAGTTGTTAAGGCCCTCTAACTTGATGCACGACAAGGTATCTTAATTACGTAGATCGATGCTCATGATGCCACCCTCTGGGTTGTCTAGTTCAGACTCGATTATTTAAAGGCTTCTTTTAAAGGAAACGTTGCCACAAGCTGCATGGGAAGTATGTCTTCCACATGCACTAGGCTGTTGTCTTTGGGCGTTTGAATCAAACATGGTGCTGGTGTGTTTCAATACCCCTGTTTTTCGCTGTTTTTGACAATGTTTCATTTCACTCAAACCAAAACGAATATTGAATCAGTTGCGTCAATGCATGTTCTAACATGTCGTTTAAAGTGACTATTAAGCACACAAAAAGTTTCATTTACCTTAGAGTATAAAAGGCCTCACCACGTTTAAGTTTATAAATGACTATCAAATTTTAGGGTGTTCCCATACTTTTTGTTTTTAGTATATATAAAATATTGCCCAAAGCAGCGTAAAACAATATTCAGTCATGCTATCATCAGAGAGGAAGTACATATGCGGGAGCCTCATCTTCGAGGCCTATCTGGAATCAAGCTTCCCCTGGCAGTCCCACCTCATCTTCCACGGCTTCCGCAACTTCGTCCACACTTCCAACACCGTCATTGTCGGTCCTCGCAGCTACATCACCGACTCCACCTGTTTTCAGGACTGCCTGCCGCCAGCCACCAAACCCGGCAGTAAAGGCGACGGTGAGATATGTTTAAGTTATCGTGTGTGGATAATGTGCTTTTTTAAAAAAAGATATATAATTAATATTGGAATTTGTAGAGGTTGAGGTAATCTCCCTACTCATACGTTTATTATCTTATCAATCATTTTCCAATTGCGAAGATCGATGCTCCTGTTCTCAGTCACTGGATTGTCTGATCCCAAGTATCGATTGTTTACACACTGTCGTCATATAGCTAGAACATTCCGAACGCGGTGTTTAACAACAAACAATAGTAAACATTAAGCATTTTCTATTAAATATATTGTCAATATTTGTCGCCTTTACTATTTAATTTGAACATATGTTTTTTTCTATTATCTCCATTCCTTATTAATCGCCCTCTAAATGACATACGAGGCATAGTCAAGAGTGTACCAACTGAGTGAGTGAGTTTAGTTTAACGCCGCACTCAGCAATATTCCAGCTACATGGCGGCGGTCTGGCAGCAATTTTGTACATAAAAAAACATTTAAAAATATGCCTAGAAATTATGCATAAATTTTGAAAGGTCCCTCAGGGTAAATATTCCCTTTCAAACTTCAAACAGCTGGTAAAGTCAAATCTGGGATTAAATCCCCTGAACGGTGGAAATATACAGAAAATTCCCAAGATAAACTTGTATATTGTACACAATACATATGAGATTATACGTTTCTGCTCACATTTGGACGCCAGTATACCGACATTCAATATTTAATAATGAAGTTACCTTTGTCTTTTCATAAAGTGTTTTAAACATATCTTTCTTCACCGGGCGGTGGGGTTGGCCTATAGTGGTTAAAGCGTTGGCTCGTCACGCCGAAAACCCGGGTTCGATTCCCCACATGAATCCAATGTTTGAAGCCCATTTTTGTGTCCCCTGTCGTGATATTGCTGGGCCATTGCTGAAAGCAGCGTAAAACCCAACTCACTCACTCACTCTTTCTTCACCAGACAACGTGACCTTGACAGTGGCTGTGGTGGTATCGTGTGTCGGTGTTTTCCTCATCATCGCAATGAGCGTGATCATCTACATCCGTCGGAAGAAGAGGGGCATCGTGTGAGTGAAAAGATTGACCTCGACTACGACTTGAGATTTCATTCAATACATAGATTGTGTCAATATTCCTCTTTCTGTAACGGAAAAGTGCATTGACTTCTTATGCTTAAATTGGAATATTAAATTATATATACCGTACATTTCATATCAGTTCTAGTGCAAGTAGTATCTTTCTCCTTTGGCTGTGTCCGTTAACTGTACCAGGATCTGCTTAAAGGTAGATCTGTGGGTCCTGTTGTATTCTTGTCATTTTTATCAATGAACAAGATAACCGTCTCTGACATATATATCTTACAAGCGTCATTTCGACAACACCCGATAAATCGTCGTGATAAAATAATGTTTTAAGCAGAGTCAAACCCTATTTACTCCCCTTTATTTCTTGAATGTAAATCACCCATGGCACCAAAGTGTATAGTCTGGTCGATATCCAATACCAATATCCAATATGTATCCCTTAGTTTTAAGACATCGTTCCTTTACAGGACATTCCGGCTGACGAACCTAGGGAAACTGGACACGTCGAGCATGTTGCACGAGGACAAAGACGACCTCATTGACGAGGACAACGCCACCTTTAGGACTATCTCCATCGCCTCTTAAATCTGCGCATTAATCTAGTCTCGCCTCAAATGTGACACTGTGACGTCACGTCCGCAGGAAATCAAGACCTGAGACTTGGGTGATCATTATTATTACTAACGCTTAAACGTGCGAAAAGGAAGCGAAGGATCGAATACTATTTGATGCCCCTTCTGAGACTTTCAGCTGCACGTATATAACAAGGCAACACCAAGCCACCAGATATAGGTCAATCGCCTTCTTCCTAACCGATGTCGTCACAGGATATTGGTGTATGCCGCATTGCAAACTCGTCTATTCAGTGTATTATATATCCATTATTTCCATAAATAGTTTCAAATTTCACGACGCTAAAAATAGGCGTCCAATCAGACTGCTCAAACGAGCGAGAGAAATTCCGTGCTCCGTTCAGTGATGTGCCTTGAATGCTGTACATCCCAGCCCTCCAATTAAACTACTCTCACGGGCGAGAGAAATTATGTGCCAAGTTTGAAGGTCGTCGGACGTGACGTGGAATCGACGGCGGCGAATGTATCCTCGGCCCCGTTCCTCAATGCAATCGTCGCGCTAAGCTGATCGTAACTTCCACACTTCAACAGACTTACGACAATCGTAGCTACAATGGATGCTTTCTGTACAGTGGCGTTATCATAGCATCGGAATTCTTAATTGTGCGTGTCAGATGACTGCTGTATGTTGAGGTCATGTTTGATGCACAATACGTTGACATGCTTCATATGAACATGACTGGTACAATCCTGTTTTCTTTCGGTATGTACGTGTCATCAGCGACTGATAGTGTTTAGTTCATCTGATCAGGTGCTTGCTTAGTGGACGTGTTATCGTCTATGCCTGTTTATGTGGCCAGCCTCGATTATGAATCGTAAATACTGCTGACTGCGGCGCCAAACAACATTCCCTCCACGGCACAATGTGACCAGTTGTATAATCAGCGAGTACATCCTTCGCATGATTGTGAACCCGTGAATCGGTCCTCGACCATCCATGCTTGTCGTAAGAAGCGACTAACGGGATCGGGTGGTCAGGCTCGCTGGCTTGGTTAACACGTCATCGTATCCAAGTTGCGTAGATCGATGCTCATGATGTTGATCACTGGATTGTCTGGTCCAGGCTCTATTATTACAGACCGCTGCTATATAGCTGGAATATGCTGACTGCGGCGTTAAACAACAATCAGTCAATCACTTGATTGTGATACTGTCACCACTTAACATCTTGAATGCACAGGCCCTCGTGTCTTTGCGAGGATTAAAGATTTTTTTTAAATATACATATAAAGTTGAGATAACCCCCCCGACTCGAAATACTTCACAGTACAATACATAATGACCTTGTTATGATGTTTTGTACTGTGAACCATTTCGAGGCGGGGGTCATCTAAAAAAACAATATGTTTTTAATCATTCATCCTCGTAAAGACACGAGGGCCTGTGCTTGAATGTTCCTTCAAATCTGGAATGAGCCTGGACTGTTCCTGACCCAAGTCCTGTAAGCTATAGTAAGGTGCATTGTGTATGACCGACCTAATCATCCTGGTTGTCTCAGATGAGGACTGATAGTGGTTGACCTGTCTGCTAGCTGTGTATGTATGGTGTTATGTGGGACACTGCAACCGAATCAACACATGGGGTGATTTCATGGGCATTGGTAAAGGAAGCTTAGAAATTTTGGAAGAAACAAACCACTCCTCTGTATACAATTCAAAAGGAGACCCAATTAGATATGATTTGAAGCTGTATAATATATTCCTGTCTCATTCACGGCTACATACTTTACTTTTGGGAGAAGGTTTGTGAGTAATGTAAATATATGTCATGTATATACCCATGTGTATAGTTAATATACAAGGTGAGACGAATGATTCATATTTTCATGGAAATTTAAGTTTTCAGTTTTAGCCACTTGTAAATAAAACATAAACTGATTAATACGTCACTGGCTTTTTATGTGTAAATAATGGTTACTGACAGTAGTTTTGAAATACGTTTGTCACTTTGAATAACATTTGATGGAGGCTTGGAAAGCTAACGCGAAGATTTGACGTTTGGGCAAAGATGGGTACGCGGAAGAGTAAGCGGAGGTAGATAACGCTGGGCGTCGACTAAATTCTGTAGTAATAGGATCATCAGACGCTGGGCGTCTGTAGCATCAGACGCGTCTCTTAGCAATCACTGATTAGACCCGATTAGAACTTTGATCTGTCAATATCATAGAATGGGTAACCTTAAGGTTATCCAAAACACGTGTGTTAAAACGGTGTGATAAAGCTGATACACTGATCAAAGCGGTGTTACACGGAAGTTTGGATCTGCCAGGTCAAACTGATCCCCACCTGCCTATCTGTGCTTGCTGTGAGAACCTGGCTCGAACCTGGTTCGGTGACTTTGTTGACTGCTTGTCATCGTTCGCTGATAAGACGTTGCTAATACTATATATATATAGACCCGTGAATGTCTTCAGTAACTCATGCTTGTCGGAATAGCCGACTAACGGGATCAGGTTGTCAGGCTCGCTGACTTGGTTGACACCTGTCATCGAATCCCTATTGCGTAGATCGATGCTCATGCTGAAGATCACTGGATTGTTTGTCCAGACTCGATTATTTACAGACCGCCGTCATATAGTTGAAATACTGCCGAGCGCGGCGTTAAACAACAAACAAACAAGAACTGGAATATTAAACGGCGTAAAACGACAAACACTCACTAAGATCAGTGTGAATGGTGAAGACAAAGGGCTGTTTGGCAAACTGTGTACCATCTTCGTCTAGTGTACGAAACCACAAAAATAAACTAGAATTTACATGAAAGAGTGAACTATGTCATCAGATATGTTACAGATCTATCTTTATCCTACGATTTTACAAATTTCCACCTGCAAGACAAGGGGCAGATGTCATTGTGGATACAAGAAAAGATACAGGGTACACTGGAGAAAAAACATTTTCCTGGTGTATTATTTGTAAGGGCGAGAGTTCAAATTGTAGACCAAACGTTAAAGTTGCCCGTAATAATGTTTGATATTTTAAGCTCAAAAGAATTAAAACAGGATATACTACAAACGTAACCAATTTTTCTCGACGAATCAACTTTTACGAAGCTAATGACAGATATGCTGAAGAATGATACAGTATTATGATCCAGAATTGCCAACCTCAGTGAGCCCAGATGCAGGTTATGGGCTATGCGGAGCAGTTACTTGGTCGTCTTTTGATATTAACATTTTCGGAAAGGAGTCTTATGCCCAAAGGTTTGGTTGCACTCCAGCTATATGGCGGCGGTCTGTAAATAATCGTGTCTGGACCAGACAATCAACAGCATGAGCATCGATCTACGCAATTGAGATACGATGTCAACCAAGACAGCGAGCCTGACCACCCGATCCCGTTAGTCGCCTCTTACGACCAGCATGGGTTACTGAAGACCAATTCTAACCCGGATCTTCATGGGGTTATGCCCAAAGAGAAAACGCATCGAGTGTCTAGCAAGAGTTTGTGTATGTGGGAAAGAGCCAGCGTGCAGGCATCAGACGGATCATAACCCTTGGAGCTTCTAAAAAAACATGGTTTGAATTGGGTGCCGTTTCGATGGCAGACACCCTCGATTAGACTAAGACGTTTTGATAAGAGTTCATTGGTGACTTCCACCGAGGGCACCAAGGTGTTAACAACCGACCATTTCGGTTTAAAGAGTCATTCAAGACAACTTCCTCTGTCAAAGAAGCCATGGCAATAGGTGGCTACAGACGTAGCCATCACGAAGGAAACGAATTTACCGGATATTACTCTAGATGTTTTGAAATGACGTAAATCACAAATATTACTTGCAGACAATATATTGGAAAGCTCAAGGCCATGTTTGTGTGCTGGTGCGTTCAAAGGAATATTCAGATAACGGAAGTCAGAATAACTTTGCTCAGTTTAATAACAAGTACCACTTTCGTCAAACGGCAACTAATTCACGCTTTCCTCGGGCCAACGGTGAAGAGAAGTACGCGTAGTGAAACGTCTGTCACATGAAGATGATTTATATATTGATCTAATGGAGTAGCGTTTGACCCCAGGTGACGTTACTGGTAAATCCCCGGCTCAGACAGATCAGAACACATATGCCAACTCTCTAAATAAATCTTACTCCTCAGTGGCTGGACTTGAAGTGAAACGGCAAGATGAGAACGCCAAAACGCCATATGAAACTTACTACGAGAAATGCGTGTTCCGTATCAGCACATTCATTCACTTCTGCCGCTCTGCGCATATTTTCCAAGACATGCGTATTGACATAAGGTTCAGCCAGTTTAGGACAGGTTGCATGGAAATTCTGTGAGCGAAACGTTAGAATTTAACTATAGTATATGTTTAAGAAGAATTCCTGTGAAGCGATAGACATCATCATACATTGCAAACTTAGCGCGAAGATAAGTAAGATTGCACTAGGATTGGTTTGTGAAACTGGCGTAAATTCTAAGGTAACCTATTTTACAGCATTTTACGTAGGAAGATATGACAGGAGTAACCTCTGTGGGAAGAGAATGATTTTACAGCTACGCTAATTTTTTCTGTAATAGGGCATTGACTGCCTCTGAAAAGTTATGTGCATTCATTCAACGAATGGCTCATGAGAAATACTATAAAAACTTGTGGGAGCGCTGGCCTAAGTCCTTCTCGCCCCAAGTGCCCACCAGAAACTGTTCTATGCAGCAACTTCTTGAACGTCAACTCAGCACAAGGTGGATAACTCTAAATTACTCGCTACCGATGATTGCCGCTAAAAAATGTCAACGACAGCCCTTGTCATTTTACTCGCGCTTCCGTTATTTACCGACAATCACCTCAAATATACTTACAATATCAAGAAACACAATTAACACATTCCACGATGGTTCTACAAAAATGATTCAACGGAATACGAAAGCCTAACTGTATAAACTATTATTCTAAATTCAACTTTTAACCACTTGGTGAGTGAGTATGATTTTACCCTTTTAGTCCAGGAATATCACGACTGGGGAGTGAGCTTTGTAATCAAAATAGAAACCGTCTTCGGCATGATAAGCGAGTCGGCTACATACATGCATTGATTTTGTCATCATGTATACTAACTGGTTTACAAGTACATAGCATATAAAGTGACTGTAGTGTTGCTCGGTGGTTAAAACGTTACGCTGAAGCCTGGGTTCGAGTTAATACAGTTTGTGAACCCTGTTTCTGGTGTCCCCCAGCCGTGATATGGTAAGACTATGGCAAACCATGGCGTACAGCAATACTCACTCAGTGACGTACCTACTGGCAGTGTGTTTTACAACAGTTCGTTGTCCGGATCACCTGATAATACCTGAACCATGACTGTGAGGTATATGTATTCTAAATATATTTTTCAAAGAATTGAGATATATTAGATTAAGCCCAGTCCGTGTTTTTCCGCAATGAAATCAACATCAGAGAAATGAGTGATTAAATCTCAGGGGAAAGACGTGTGTCGTGTAATAACATATTTTCTAGACTATATTTAAACATACGCGTATTGGCACCACATACGATTTTGCTTATATAATACCTGTTTAAATGTCAAGTATAGTGTACAGGCCCCCCTAACCAACGGAAGCAAGAATGTGTATATGGAAAGAAATCCCTCCAGTTTAAAACATATAATAGCAGGAATTGAAGGAAATCGATCTATTTTGGTCCCCAATGCGTTCAGAATGGAAAAAGACGATCTGGTTTTCATGCACGAACATCAAATTTGGCAGAAATAGTAGCTTATTCGGTTGCAAATTCGACCGTTTCGGTCGTAGTGTAGCGTAGTATCAGCAGAGTACAGTATAAGTATAGATTCACGTAAGAAATTAATAAATTCTGACTCGAATGTAAAATACTCTATGTTGCCTGTTAATAATACACACTGGAGAGAAGACTTGGCATCTTTAACAGAAATAGCCTTACCGAGGCCTTGAGTATGTCCATGACGTCAAGGATGATGAAGTGTGGCGTCATCTTCTCTGTCGCGTCACTCAATCTCACCTCCAGAATGGCAACCGTATACGTCAGCAGTGATATCTGAATACGTCAGCAATGCCGAAGAAGGCTCCGTTTGTCTAAATTGATTTGGATTATATTTCCTGTTATGAATAACGACGAGAAATTATTAACCGAGTGTGTTTCCGAAAATTTCATGTTAGGAATAATAATTATATGATAAACATTTTCTTGTACGTGGTGTATCATAAGAGTGAAAATAATTATAAAACACAAAAAATTGGGATACGAAAACACTTGAAAGAAATTTTCACTTTATCATGAAATACCATTCTTGTCTTAAATCAAACGATGTTTATTATGTAATTTCACTCATAGTAGTTTCTAGCAATGCATAACAGATTTATCATATAAAGGTGAGGTGAGGTGAAATTGGGTTTAACGTCGTGCTTGAGAATATTTCGCTCATATGACGACGTGCATGCGTGTGTATGTGAATGTGTGGCTGCTTGTACTAGCCCAGACTGAAGCTGGTTTTATAGTGCTAGCCCACTGAGATACCATGCCGCAGTGAAGCATGAATACCCCACTCAGACACATTATACTGACTCCGAGCCGACCAGTCCTTGTTGTACCCATTAATGCCGGGGCGCCAGACAGGGATCAACAAGTACCATAGTTTAACGTCTTTTGGTATGACGCGGTCGGGGATCGAACCCGCGACCTTCCGCTCTCCGGGCGGACGCTCTAACCACTACACCACGGAGGCGGTCGCCATTACTGGACTGTCAAGCATGGACTGTGAGACCTCTGCTGACCAGGATTCTACGGGTTGCGCTTAATAGTCGCCTTTAAACTGCTTTGTCTGTTGTTTACCGCTGCTTGTAACGACATTAAGCATAATGGAGGTGGTTTGTAAGTAGTCGAGTCAGAGCCAGACAAATCTAGTGATTGACATCATGAGCATCAATCCACACAACGAGGATATGATGACACAACGATCTATTTGTTCGCCTCTCACGACAAGCATGGGTTGCTGGGGACTAGGCTTACGCTTAGTTTCTGAATATAAACTCATGGGCAAAAGAAAGTATAGATCATTTTGAAGATCAGTAAAAACAGAAACACAAGATTTGGATTATGTAATAGATGTAATTTGTAGCAAATTCATTTGCACTTTGCTGTGTGTACAAATCATCACCTGGTTGAAAGAACTGAACGGTGACATTGACATTCAAACAGTCAGGGGGTAAATACCAAAGTTACAATGATATTCCTTTGACGAATTGCGCACACAAAAGACAAAAGTTTGTTCCAGAACGATCACAACGTCAGAAGCGTGCGTGTCCGCCAGCAGCCTCGATGCACGCTCGTGCACGTCGTCGCATCGATGACGTCAAGCGTCGGATGACGTCATTTGGCAGTCGCTGCCATTCGTCCCTCAGTGCCACTTCCAACTCTTGTCTTGTCTGTGGAGGGTGATGACGACCACAAATTTGTCTTCCCAAATGATCCCACAAATGCTCGATCGGATTCATATCTGGTGATCGAGAAGGCCAGGGGAGAACATTAACGTTATTTTGATTAAGAAAGTTTCTCGTCGCTATTGCTGTATAGGGAGTTGCTGGTTGATTGTTCAAGAAAGGTAAGACAACAGGCTGCAAGACTTGATTTCGGTACTCGTTAGCATTGAGATTCCCCTGAATAACGACCAAGGGTGTCGTTTGGTCGCAAATAATGCCACCCCATACCATCACACCAACTCCACCATAGGCATTGAATGCATGCTGCTGCAAAACGTTCACGCCATCGCCTGTAAACTCTCTGTCGGCCGTCATTTTTGTGCAGACAAAACCGACTTCCATCGGTGAAGAGGACCCTACGCCAGTCACGCACTTGCCAGCGGTATACTCGTCTTGCCCATTGCAGTCTTTCAAGTCGATGTTGTTGTGTTAGTCTCATTCCACGGAATGGTCGGATAGCAACATATTCCACCTGCTGTCAAACGTCTGAGGACAGTCCTTCGACTGATGCGACGTCCCAACGCTGTTTCGGCCGTTGACGTTGCCGTAACAAATCGATTTCGGAGGTGTATCAGGCGTATATGATGACCTTCACGTGCGCTAGTTACACGTGGACGCCCACTCCTCGGCCTGTCCTGTGTTCGACCTGTCTGTCTGAATCGTTGGAGGAGTCTTGCTATCGTCAGTGGCGTACAACCAAATCTTCTTGCAATTCTGACGTTCGTCGCTCCCATATCGGACATCCCTATGGCAATCTCTCTCTCTGTTCTGGCGTCAGTCGTGGCATACTTTTCATGTGTTTTCAGCAGCTGTGATATGACGGGACCGATGCATCGCATTTATACCGAAACTTTGCACGTGCATTATGTGCTAGGGGCATGGAACATGCTTTCAACATTTGTGACGTCATCACTCTCACCGTTCGAACGTGTTGCGTTTTGGCGGTGTATTTCCCTTCCCAGTAGTGGGGCCAACATTGCCAGCATGTCTAATTCTCCTAACCATGTCAATGACAGTGACAAATAATTTTTCCAGTCCTATACTTTCTTTGGCCATGCGTTTATATATAATTTTGATGGAAACAAACAATTCCTTTTAAATTGAAAAAGAACTCCAGTGAAACGGGAGATTCAGAACCTGAACCTGAGGAAATCTAGACTTGTTTCACTGAGGGCTTATGCATTACAAATATATAGGGCTAGACAGATGGGACAATAATGTGGTTCAGGGCCTGTAGACAGACTGGCTGGGGACCTATATTGTTAACCAGAATCCCGTGGGTTTTGCTCAAATTTGCCACTGTCGATCTTGGAGCTGGTCTTCTAAGTTCTCGACATACTTGAATACTTTGTTCGAGGGGTCTGGCAGACATCTGGAAAAAAAGCAAATCAAGTTATATATAAGATAACACTAGTCTCGTATGTACTTGGGTGATTCATTTCCAGTGGTTACCTCCACGACAATAGCCCATTGTGAAAGGTGGTTTCGGGGCTAAAACTACTGAACATTTACTCAGTTTCGCGGTAGTCTTATATAGCCCTTGGATGGTTGGATGTGAGTAAGCCCGGTTCCATAAAGTGATCTTAACGATCCTGTCATGGCCTGACTGTATAACTTTCACCGGCAACAGTAACAACATAAGGTCACTTTGTCCTTGTCGATGCAACAACGCGATTATTGCGCTACGAACGTCGCTATATAAGTACCTCTAAAGCATTTACTCTCACTTCGAAATTACATATAGTGTCACCTTAGCGTTGACATCGAACAGAGCGTTGTTTGACAAATATAAATATTTCTGCAATTCATTATATTCATAGATATTTCATTATCACCCTTTTCTTTTTTTATTGGTTCCCAAGATTACAATGTCGACGATGTACAGACAGATAGATGATGTACAGGTAGTATGTTCATTACCACCCTTTGTCGTTCCAGGATCCGCTAAGTTTGAATCCAAGATGCAATTTGATTACATAAACCTTGGTCAGCACCAAGCCTGACTAATCGAGTAATCGTGTTTGTACAAGGGGAGTCTAATTTAACTGAAATTGATATCCCAGTCTGATCTTGTCAATATATTGACTATAATCCTGCACCATGGATTAGAAATACCAGCTTCCAATTAAATCATAAGCATCAAACTTAGTCTCGTGTATAAACATCCACCAGTACACGTTCAAGATTACATTACAAATAAGAATTTGAATGTGTGATACAAGATTTCACTGACTATTATCAGTGTATGAAATAAGCCAGAAATCCAGCCAGACATCAGGGCTTGTAACTTGAAAATGTTCAAACTACAGATCTACTTATACTTGGTGCTCAAAGTGATCCCAAACATCACTCAGTAACGGAGTTTTCGGCTGATAACCAGAACTTCAAAATGTTACCAACCTAAAATGGTTTTAACCAGAACAAATATGTCGAATTAAGTCAGATGTATGGAACATATAAAAATTTTACCAGACCATCGGGCTGGCTAGCTGTAAATTTAGACCGTCCGTCAGAAATCTAGACCGTCTCGGGTGGTCGGACGGGCCTTATTTCATACACTGCTATTATACAGGTGTACTTATACTGGTGCTGAAAGTGGTGTCAAACATCACTCAGTAACGGAGTTTCCGCCAGATAACTAGAAGCATGTCATCGTTACCATGACAATTGGTATACAAGTGACGGCTGTGTGGCTGAGTTTGGTTTAGCGTCGCTGTGAACAGTTATCATTTCCGAAATGGCGTGTCTGTTTAAAGTGGGAGGAAAGACCGAAATTATATTCAGGTGATTGACGTGTATCACTTTGGTGAAACAATGATATACTTATATGCTGATCCCCTTTTACTAATAACAGATAGTATGATATTATTTATGTAGAACTGAGAAAGTACAGAGACACGATTTCGAAGCTATGGTTTGGTGCTGGGAAACCAAGGTTCATAATCAATGCGAATCAGGGATTCAAACCCACGATCATCGATATCTGGATAGACTCAATGACGCGATTGTGGAACGGTGATGCGCCTTATACAGAATACTGAGACCTCCGAGTCTATCTGTCGGTGTTGGTATTCAGGGTGTTATTCCTTGATATATAAGGGATAGAAAACTACACACAGACATTTAGTTTTACAGCCATCAACTTATTAAGAGGAGAAAGGTGTAAAGGGCCAAGTATTTGTTTAGAAAATTTAAGACCATGGTTCTCACAAGAAAATACATCAAAATTCAAAACATCTCGAAAAAAACTACTAACTGAGTAACGGAAACAAATTCAGTCGTCATTTTTGGTGGGAAGAAGTATGTGGTGTTCCGGTTTGACTGACCCAGTTGTGTGTGTGCACATCATCTCTACCCCACAAGGAAATTCATTTTGAGAGTTTTTAAAAGCATGTTCAAAGAGCAAAGGTCAAATGAAGCACGAGAAATTTCATTCAGTTTCATTACCCTCTGGTTTCTGTTACCGTGTCGTGTGCCCTAGCTGACTCGACTGTCTGACAGTCCCAAACTGGGGTTTACTTTCCCTATGGGGCGGTGGGGTAGACTAACAGCTAGTCTCTGAAATGAACATATTTTACTGAAAAGTTCATAGTAAAAAAATATAAAATATAATGAAAAGGAGCCCTGAGACTTTCTTCATTTTCAGAAGCTGAGGAAATCTAGACTTGCCACATTTTCTAGACTTGCGTGGGCTTTCTTGGATATATTTGCTTCAGGGTCTGTACGACAGACTAGCGGTGGGGTAAAGCGTTCGCTTGTCACGCCGAAGACCCGTTTTCGAATCACCACATGGGTACGATGCGTGAAGCCCATTCCTGGTGTCCCCTGTGGTGATATTGCTAGAATATTGCTACAAGCGGTTAAAACCATACCTACTTCTACTACTACTTCCCTTCCGCCCAGCCTTCACTGTCCAGTCGATATATGTCTTGGGTTAGCCTGGCTTGGTGTGTATACGTATGTACAAACAGGGACATCGCCCTGGGCGTGTGTCTTAATTGCTTGAACCTAAACATGAGCACCATCTCATTGATTACAAAGTATTATATGTCGTATATGAATAGTAAAATAGTCAGTAGCAATGAATTAAAGGGTTGAGAAATGAAATACATGGGTTTTACAAGCATGTATACCTGAAACAAATATTAACTGACTGAGTTTAGTTTTACGCCGCTTTTAGCAATATTCCAGCAATATCACGGTGGGGGACACCAGAAATGGGCTTAACACATTGTGCCCATGTGGGGAATCGAACCCGGGTCTTCGGCGTGACGAGCCAACGCTTTAACCATTAGGCTACCCCACCGCCCCTAAACAAATATTAAGGTCATGCCCAAATTATGAACACATTCAGAAGATCTAGTGTCTCAAAACCAGTATACATACAACATTATACTTACAAGCAAGCCACCGTATAGCCTGGATATTGATGAGTGTGGCGTTAACAACAAACTTACAACATACATTTCGACTTCTTTTCTTAAATGGCAGCTGTGAACACGATATGACGAAAGGACATCGAATACTCATGAACATAAGAAACATATACTAGCTTAAATAAATTACTTACTTTCAGAAGCTCGTGTCCTTTAAAGAATAATTTAACGTTTTCTCACAATCCAGGCAAGGCCACCTAAGACATTACTCTAGGTTTAGTATTGAACTTTATTGCGTTACAGTAGTCTGTCTCACAGTCCCTGAACCACATTATTTTCCCTACACTGCCAAGCCCTCTCTGCAGTGCTAAAGCCCTAAATAAAGCAAGTCTAGATTTCCTCAGGTTCAGGTTCTCTGGTCTCATTAGGGCTCCTTTTCAATTTAAATGGGCTTGTTTGTTACTATCAAAATTATATATTTTCAGAGACCAAGCGTTACTCTAGCGTTACAGTTGAGCATAGGTTAATAAAGCAAATTAAGCCCTTTCTTAATATATACTTAATATTAATACCTACATCGTGTCACCGGGTGTCTTAAATGTAAGTTTGTTAGGGCACTATAATCACTTCATCTGATGGTAAATATTTCTCAAAATATACATGATCTCATAACGAAAATGGTAAAACCACAACTCGCGCTATAGTCTGTCTCACAGTCCCTGAACCGTCTTCTTTTCCCTTCTGCCTTGTCGTAACTGCAATGCTAAGCCCTAAGTTCTGAATCTCCCATCTCAACGGGGCTCCTTTTCAAATCAAAAGGAATTGTTTATTTCTACAAACAAATATATATATATATATTCAGAGACTAATCTCATCGCGCCCCTGATTTAATAAAACGCTGAAACGACGCTTGGTTGGAACCTCATGCAATATTCTTAGACGTACATGTACCACGCATTGCATAAATAATTAAACAGCATTAATGCGAACAAGAGATAATTCAATACAGTGCGTAGAAACTACGGAACCTAAAAGTACAATGTCGTCATGTAGTCCATGCGGTTTACACATAGTTGCTACATGATGTCATCCAGTCAAATAGGTAAGCTGACAATCCTGTTTGTTTGTCAATATACGCTTTTCAACCATGTGGGCGGAAGGCATGTGTTACCTGTGTCCCGACGAGCAAGCGAGCACCGACGCTAGTCGGCCGTATTTAGCTCACTATCGATTTATGAATGACGACATCCAATGGCATTTTTGGGGTAGCAGCTAGTAATTGAAATATCTGACAACCGTGCCAATAATTCCGTTGCATGTGCGATGTCATGGCTGAAATGATTGTTTGAGAATATCTCGCGCTACCTTCTAGTGACCCACGCAAGAGGGCGGGGCAGTTGTTGCTTTCAAGGTGTTGCACATGCGCAATCAGCAAGTCATAGACTGAGTACCTTGCTTGTACCGACCGACACGGTCCGATTTGGTTTAGGTTGACTTTTTACAGAAGCGTCAGGCTATCTGTGTCAGTTTTAACTCAGTAGATATTTTTACTGGATTATTAACAGATTCCAAGGCGTGGAACTGACACTGGGGGCTACTTCAGGCAGAAACCGTGATCGGATTTCTTGAAAAATGTGTTACGATCTGTTGAGAATGATCAAATGACGTGACACAGTCGTGAATTGGAGCACGGTTTTCGAACGCACGTACACGGATTTTAACCCATATTTTACAGATAGCTTGAAGGTAGGTACCAATATGACAGGTGCTCGTAATTTATGGTGTCATGAGCAATCACCAAGACGCCTGACGAAGGCACGTTTCATCAGTCAGCCGACTCTCAAACAAACATGGCTGACAACTCGGTTATCGGTGGCGCTCTCGTAGAATGATTGCTGTCTGTGTCTCTTATGTGTTTTCCGAAATTTCTTAAATATATGCCCGTATTGTTCATTACACATCAAGGTTTCAAGACGACATTCTCATTTTTCTGAAT